TTTATCTTTATCAGTCTATATTTCCTAAGGTGAGTGATCGTCTCTGGATGTTCCGTGATGTTCTATAGTCAGTTGGTGTGACGCATGTTACTGTGTTGTCTTACCAGGTGTAGAGACGTGCTGCTCGCTCATCTGCTTACTGAGAGTTGTGAAACTATATAAACATTGCTAGACTACATACAAAACAATTTGGTACCTCTGTCACGTCAGTTTTGGCAGTCTTGAAGTGGGTGTCCACTGATGATGGTGGTGATGCTAATGGTAATGGTGGTGATGGCGGTGGTTGTGGTGATGGCGGTGGTTGTGGTGATGGTGATGATGGTGCAGAGGATCGGTCAAAAAAAAAGAAGAAATGTTGCTTAGGAAAGTGTGATCCAATGCATGACTATGTAAATAACTTTCTAGAGAGTTGAACACGATGTAAGTCTCTCTCTCATTGTACTTTTCTCTCTTTGTCATCTGTCCCTCTTATGTAATCATTTCCCCACTTCACCACCCCACTTCTGTCCATCCTCCAACAAACCTCCCTCTCTCCCTCCCTCTCTCCCTCCCTCTCTCCCTCCCTCTCGTCCCGTCATACATAAAACATCAGGAGAACAGAATAATGACTGTTGTTTTCCCCCCTAATTACTGTATATATTGATCGTGGGCCTAAGAGGGGTGGGCCACGCCTCTACACCTGGGAAAACGGCTTTGAGCTCCGTTGCCTCATGATAACAATGTGGTGGGTTTATTGTTACCTACGACCGATTGGTGGGGCGAGGTGGTGGGTCACTATAATTGTTTGGGGAATAAATTGTGTGTGTGTGTGTGTGAGCGTGTGTGTGTGTGTGTGTGTCTGTTGTTTACTTATTCAAGCGTGATAATAACGTGTTTGGAAATAGATGACATTGTTTGTCCGTTCGTCTGTGATCAAGTTCCACCACACCCCTCGTCCCTCCGCCTACACTTTTACCTCCTAGTTCACCTTTTTATTGTGGATGGAAGAGTGTATCTATCCATGACGTCATAATCGATAAACCGTTGCCTCGCTGGTCCTGTAATTTGTGTTTACGTTTTGGTGTGTTATTCAGAGCAGCTACGAGGGCTCCAAGCACGTGAGGATTAGGCACCCTAGTTTATTTCATCAGATGATTGAAGATTCTATCCTAATCTAGCTTATCTTAACCTAACCAAAACTAGCCTAACCTAACCTAAACTTGCTTAACCTAACCTACCCTAAACTAGCCTACCTAACCTTACTTAACCTATTCTAAACTAACCCCCACAGGTAACGGTAAGGTGTTTAATCATCAGGTAAAATAAACTGAGGTTTCTAATCTACACGTAATCAGTGACTTATGGGCTTTTTATTATTAATTTCAACTGGGGAATATCTCGGTGAATTAATCCATATAACGTAATATACTCAGTACGTCTCAGATATTGATCATTCACGTTAAAAGGTTAAGGTGTTTGAGTCATGCTGGACAACACTACAAATCTCAGGCCCAGCGTATGGCAACATCACGTATAGATTGAAAGTTGTCGTATTATGTATTATGGATTAGTTTATTTTCTTATGTGTGTGTGTGTGTGTGTGTGTGTGTGTGTGTGTGTGTGTGTGTGTTAGAGAAAATCCAATTCATCATCTGAAAGTTAAAAAAAAAAAAATCGGAATGCAATTTTACTTTCCCTCGGCAATTTTGTCATTTTTGTTTTCATTCTGCATTTGATGTCTCATTACATTTCTCAGCAGTATTTTCCTCGATTGTATTTCACAGTTCGACAAATCTGCACTACTTTAATTTAAAAGAAAACGGATTGTCATTGCGAGTAGGTCATTAGATGTCAGTGAATTAAATATAAATATCTGTCAATTGTTTTCAGAAGCCGTCAGATATTTTTTTTTCTTTTCGCAATGATTAGATGAACGTGATCGCCATTGTGAATTGAAAAGTCATCCGTAACTGCCGCTAGGGAGTATAATGCCTCGTGTATCAGTCGGTCAGTTAGTAAGTCAGTCACTCAGTCAATCAGTCTATCAAGAAAAGCATCCATTCAGCTGTAACCTTTCTCTCAAGTCTCAGTTTAAGAAATATATAATCATTAGAAGGTCGACAGTGTTTGGTGTGTTGATTGTCTTTTAAGTGAATTATAAAGGTGGCGCTGGTGAGATGTAGATTGTCTTTTGTTTTAGGTTTATTATAAGGGCGGTGACTCATAAGATGTAGATTGTCTTTTGTTTTAGGTTTATTATAAGGGCGGTGACTCATAAGATGTAGATTGTCTTTTGTTTTAGGTTTATTATAAGGGCGGTGACTCATAAGATGTGATTGTCTTTTGTTTTAGGTTTATTATAAGGGCGGTGACTCATAAGATGTAGATTGTCTTTTGTTTTCTTGAAGTATAAGGGCGGTGACTGATAAGATGTAGATTGGCTTTTGTTTCCCTATAAGATAAACTAAAGTACAACGAGGGTTCAACTATAAGTGAAGGGAAGAATAATACAGGGTGGTGCTATAAAATAAGACCCGGTCTCAGTAAATCAACTTATATAGAACGGTACTGTCGAGTAAACTTTTTGCGCTTATGAAAAAAAATCTTATCTTTATTTCAACACTACACTTTGAGTTTATTCATTCTTCAACCATAAGAGGAGAAAGTAAAGGAGTTTTATATCATTCAGGTAAAACAAAACAAGACAATATTTATCTTCAGTTCAGGTAAATTCTTAAAAGCAGGAGTGAATAGATAACACTTTCGGTGCTTCGGTGTGTAAATGGAGCCGCTCTGTCACGTTCACCGACTCTCACTCCTGTGTTATTGTAATTTGCTTTGAATTTCGGACTTTCAGAGACTCGAATAAGAATCCCCCTTTCCTCAGCTGAAAAACGAAGTGACGTATCCATGCAGTGATGGCAGAGTCTTACTGGAGTGTTCGTGATATAATAGCTATAATTTTAGTTTTTTTTTTAGTGAGTTAGATAAGTATTCTTCACTTAACTAGACGAGAGGAAAACTTTCAGCTTTTCAATTCCCTCCTGATCCCGGAGAAGAGGCACGATTGCAGACATAGGGTAGAATAATTAAGTCTGTTTACCTGTATTTTCCCACCTTGTCTATTTCATTTCAGTAGAATAGATAGTAGATTTCTCCATGTTTTATTTCTTCATGGAGGATAGGGAAGGGAGAGGGGGGGGGGGTGATATTTACATGTATGAAGGAAGATTGATTTTCCCATAAGGGGAGACGATAATATATTCGATACTTATCAATACCTGGGAGGGAGAAGTGTGAACTGTGACTGATTGATAATGAATAATGTGGTGGAGTGAGTTGACGCACACACACACACACACACACACACACACACACACATCCTGCATGACTGTTTGAGTTATTACTTTAAAAGCTTCTTATGCCACGGTAATGACTCGTTCTTGACAAACCTTCATGAAACAGTGGATGTGGAAGGACTGCTTGAGGGGGGGAGGGGTCTGTTGGTGGAGGGGTTGATGGGGGCTGTTGATGGAGGGGTTTGATGGGGGTTGAAAGGAAGGGTTGTTAGTGACGCTTGATGGAGGGAGGGGAAGAAGAGGTATTGATGGGGGCATGACTGAGAGGATGAAGTCATTGAAATCGAGTCTGATATAATAACCTCTCTTGGTGTAATTATAGTCTTAAGAATCATTGCGAAGTCTTTTGACAGACGTCCGCCATTAAACGTAGTCCATTTCCGTATCATGTCGTCCATCTTTTGTGTACTGGTCAGGCGAGGGTTGCAGGCTCGAATTTCATTGGTCAGAAGATAGTGGTGGGTGCTTACAAGGAGCTGTGTGATTGGTGAGGCACTGGCTGCATTTTGTTAGGAGATATGTGATTGGTATTGTGTTTGTTATTATTCATGGGGAGGCTTGTGATTGGCCAAATGTTGTTTTTATTTATTCTTGAAGAGTGTTTTGATTGGCCGAGCGTAGTTTGGGTTTGATAACAGTATACTAATCTCTCTTATCTGCGAATAAAAAAATATGTAAATTGATCCCGTAAATCACTGTAGTGTGGCTGAAGAACAGTTAATCCTGCAGAATCTCTTTATTTACACGATTTATTTATTTTTTCATAAATGAAGTTAGTAGTTAGTGAAGCATTGAACAATTACAGACCAATTTCATCGACGCCGCCCACCACAGGTATTTCCAGCAGGTATAGAGGTTGTTATAGGCACTGGCAGAAACTATAGAGATTATTGGTATTAATAAATTATGTATGGAAGCTATAGATAAGGAGAGGAGGCTAGGGGTAATGGGACCAGGGGTGGGTGGCTCTAGACCAAAACAGATATAGTGTATGACCACTACATCTGCGGTCATTATCATAGCGTGGCTTGGTACATTATGTTCTTACACGTCATGCTCAGTAGTCACACAACACACTCAATATAAACATGAAAAAGAACAGCGGAAATCTTGCCGTTTAAACCCCACTGGCTGTTACTAAACCACAAACTCATTTTACACACAAACTGACGTATAACTGTGATATTTATGACCTATTAATCTTTTATTTACAAATATTACATAACTATAAAAGAAATTGGGTTTAAGAGAAGACTTGATAGAGATGGATATATAAGAATGCCAGGTCCTCCACCGTCTCATGGCCATAGGTACTAAATTTCCTAATCCACACGCGTTAATAACATAGCCCCAGCCACTACCAGGTAATCACAGGTAAGATTAATAATACCTCTCAGGTGTGTTGGTAGCGTGTGAATCTTAAGGAAAGGAGGGTGATTTGGGGGGGGGGGGAGGGGTATACGTATGTCCTAACTCACTGCTGTGTTGGTGAGGGTGTATTGCTGTGTTGGTGAGGGTGTACTGCTGTGTTAGATGGTTACTGCTGTGTTGGTGGGATCATTATATACGGTACATTACTATTAAATAGACAGGATCAGTATAGTATTGACAGAGTGAACTGAAGACAATGTGATGAACTATCTTATTATCCCCCCCCCCCAGGATCACGCTTGGTCGTAATGACGTCACTCAACACCAGGGCGGCGCTGATGCTGCTTCTTCTACTCTTCAACACAGGTCAGTCTTTGCTGTTAGTGGTCAGTAGCTTTACGAATCCCAGCTTGATGTATCATCGCAACCCTTTACTGTTACTAAGATTGCATCGATAAGTTAAGATCTTGAGAACGATAATATATCATCTTGAGTATGATAACATAACGTGACGAGTTATATACGGTAACGCATTACTGTTGTGGTGGGTGAAGTAATTACAATAATAATCTCTTCAGGCTCGTGGCTTCTCACCTGTGGATACCTTGTGTTCTTTTATGTATATTACCTACCTTATTTATTATGTGTGTGAGGCAATAATGATGGTAACGAGTTTGGAATACTACTACTACTACTACTACTACTACTACTACTACTACTACTAATAATAATAATAATAATAATAATAATAATAAAAAGAAGAAAAGTAATAATAATATTAATAAAAATAATGATAATAATAATAATAATAATAATAATAATAATAATAAAAATAATAATAATAATAATAATAATAATAATAATAATAATAATAATAATAATAATAATAATAATAACACCAGGTAGAAGACACTGAAGGTGAAACTCATCTTACCTGTGTGATGAACGAACACTTTGCATGGATCACCTGGTGACGATACACCTGGTGACGATACACCTTAACACACCTACGGCTCATAAAACATTGAATTAGAAGTTATAATATTTTTTTTTTATGAGTAAGAGATGAGACAGCGGGTGTGAGCGTGATTGGCGCCTTAAAAGAACAATAATGATGGTAATTGGTGAGTTAATAAGCCAGTGGTGTCTATTATTTGAGGTAAAAAATTGCGACGCCGTTACAGATCCTGGATATAAATCAATGGGGGTAACTGGCAACTCAGGTGTCATGAGGAAGGTAGATGTCTAAGTGAGGTATAATGACGTTAGTTCACTCCTTGAGGTAGTTCAACTGTCTCTCTCACCGTGACGGGAGGTGGAAAGAAAGAGATAGTCAGAGAGAGAGAGAGAGAGTTAGTGAGTGACAGTGTTGAAGAAAAGGTCTACTTATAATATTATTTTTACCTTGAATATTAGATTTTATTTGTATAGTCAAACACAAAGTCATCTGGTAACTTTTTTTTAAAGTACTTTAACTACAACTACAACAATAACAATAAAAATTTTAGTACTAAGTGAAGGGCGAGGGTGTTTTTTCTTGTAAACTCTCTCTCTCTCTGCGCCTACCCTACTTAAGAAACAAAAGACGGTCGCACTCCAATTCCCGCCTTCACCGATGACGTCACTCGAATTCAAACATTTGTCGACAGCTGAAGAAAATAGATAGATATTTATTTGGTAATATCGACCAACACGTTTACATTGAACCAACATCTATATATATACACAAATACAGAGGAGGAGGAAGACGTGGCCATATCTCCTTTGTCTCTTGTCTCACTCTTGTGTCTTACCTGTCTGTCTTAAATATGTTGTGAGACAGTTATTTATGTAAACAAACTTTCCAACAGTGTGTGTGTGTGTGTGTGTGTGTGTGTGTGTATGTGTGTGTGTGTGTGTGTGTGTGTGTGTGTGTGTGTGTGTAACTTGCTAATACACGCCAACTGTCTTACGCTGGACGTGTTTACTTCTGCTCGACTTACTTGACTGTAATATTTCCCTCTTTACCTGTTAGCTTCCATGCCTCTTAGCTAGCCTACCTACCTGCCAACTCACCTGCCTGCTCTATACCTTGCCTGGTCATGTTTTGGACTGTCTCATACACTGGAGACTTTCATACGATGTGCAGTATTGTCACGTATAGGATGGAGGCAGTCAGCGTTATGCACACACACACACACACACTCATATTTCTCTTGTGGTATATGCAGTTTGACACATGAAACGGAGGAAAATGAGAGTGTGTTGATTTTCAGGTGTTTGAATAAATATAGCTCATTCCTATATACCGACGAATAACAACGATTCAGAGTTGACAAGGTCGAACCTGTTGATGGTGGAGGTCAGTGCCCTGAAATTTCCGCGCGAGAACGGATGGTCCTTCTCTACCGAGAGAGTGTTCAAGAAAGCAGAAACAGTTGGCCTCGTGAGACACATCCCTGACCAGTTTAGATTTACCCATGTGTTTACAACTCCTATACTGTAGAAAAAGTGAAATTAAATGATTTTAAATGATACACAACACTGAACTGGTCGGTAGCTCACACGGGAGACGGACTATACTGTATTTCGGAGATGTGGAGCACTTCGAAACTTGACCTCTTGTGTTGTTTTCAAATATTGGAACTTGCATATATGGTAACTTAATATATTTAGCTCCTACATGAACAACCAAGATTTTTAAATTATAGTTGACAATTATCATTTAGAAATTTCATTGTCAAGTACTGTATATGTATATAGGTGTATGTAAGTATCCATGACGTGTTTCTATGTATAAGTATGCAATAAACACAACTACTTCGTGTGCATACTTTTATCTTCAACAATATTTAAATATACACCACAACATCAGAATTACTCACCGTGAATAGCAACAGTTATAATAACCAGCCTGTGTTTATTACTCTCAACAGGGAGGTGTTGTGAGTGGGATGCCGGGGAGGAGCTACGTCGGTTTGTGCGTGTGAGAGAGGACGCCCCGCCAGGCACCACCTTACTCACTATCAACGCTACTCACCCTCACCTCCTGCACTTACACCAGATATCTCAGGTGACTCTTTCTCTCTCTCTATGTTAATTACCTAATAGGTTGTAGTGAAATGGTTCCTTTAAGTATATTGAGTTAACTAAGTTTTCTTAAAGTGTACTTCATAGATATATAGTTATGTTTGGTTCAATAACGTAAAGCAGTATAAGTTATGTAGTTTTAAGTATAGTTTATGTTAAATTTATCAGAATTATAAGTTCATTAGTTTAAGTAAGATATAAGTTAAAACTAGTTCAGTATAAGTATAAGTAGATTTAATTTTGGTTTAGTAGTTTTAAGTTTAAATCTAAGTTTTAGTTTAAGTAAGTTTTAAGTTTAATGTTGATTTATTTGGTTGCAGGAGTCAAGCGGGATGTTCGGTGTGGTGGGGGAGGAAGGGGGTGTTGGGCGGGTGGTGGTGGGGGCCCCTCTCCAACCTCTCATGCTGGGTCCCTCACCTGTCACCAAGCTCTCTCTCACCTGCGGTAATAACCAGGTACGTCAAGCTATTTCTCACCTGCGGTAATAACCAGGTGCGTCAAGCTCTCACCTGCGGTAATAACCAGGTACGTCAAGCTCTCTCTCACCTGCGGTAATAACCAGGTACGTCAAGCTCTCACCTGCGGTAATAACCAGGTAAGCGCGGTAATAACCAGGTACGTCAAGCTCTCTCTCACCTGCGGTAATAACCAGGTACGTCAAGCTCTCTCTCACCTGCGGTAATAACCAGGTACGTCAAGCTATTTCTCACCTGCGGTAATAACCAGGTACGTCAAGCTCTCTCTCACCTGCGGTAATAACCAGGTACGTCAAGCCTCTCACCTGCGGTAATAACCAGGTACGTCAAGCTCTCTCACCTGCGGTAATAGCCAGGTACGTCAAGCTCTCTCACCTGCGGTAATAGCCAGGTACGTCTACAACACGTTAATAACTACATACAGAGAATATTACATAAAGTTTTCCCACATATTTTCACATTAGATTGTATATGTGTTTTTGTTACTCGATGTGATTTTGTTGACTAAAACTCTTTAATTTCAGGTATTTTATTTTTTAGTAATAAAGATTTTGTTTTGTTAAATAAAGCCGTGACTTGTAAGCGGGAGTCAACACTGTGTTATCATTGCTAGATTAAACTGATAAAAAATTACGATAAATAAGAGCCAATAAGTGTGAAAACGTGATTACTGATATGTATGTATGTATGTATGTATGTATGTATGTATGTATGTATGTATCAAGACTTCACCCAAACCGCAAGCGTGTCATTGCCATGTTTTGTAAGTTACCAAAATAATTAATATCTCTCTCATGTTTCCCACACTCATCACAACTTGCGGTAAATTCATGAGTGACGAAGCAATTGGTCACTGGTTATATTAATCCTCAGTACGAAAAAAAATATCCCTCTCGTGTGAAAAAAACATCAGTCAAGTCAAGAAAAACGTATATTTATTTGTTTATAAATATTCTAAGTACGTTTTATAATTTATTTTCTCTATTCCTTTATTAAAATACCTTGATATTTTTTTATTAAGAAGATTATACGTTTGTATATTATATTTAACATGATCAACCGTGTGTTCGTGTTTATATCAACTAAGATTTAAAAGAAAATTTGTGGAAAGATTCTCACTTATTATATTTCTTGTACAGTACAGCGGAGTGTGTGTGTGTGTGTGTGTGTGTGTGTGTGTGTGTGTGTGTGTGTGTGGAGAGTATCAAGGGCGTGTAACTTACTCTTATAAAGCCATAGGGAATGTATTTATTGGCGCGTAAAGCCTCCCTTAATGGTATAAAGGTAATGTAAGGTTAATATTATGGTTAAATGTAACAATAGCGTAGAGGTGTATCGCGTTACATGTATTTTTTTATGTGACTTGAAGCGTGTGTGCTGGTAGGCGAGGGAGGAGGAAGGGCGATGGCTGTATGTAGACTTTAGACCTTGATATGTAGTGTCCTTTAGGGTGATGGGAACGCCAGGCGGTGATGATCGTTAGTGCTGGCGTTGTTTCCTTTCTATGCTAAAAATAATGGTTTTAATGCACCTAATAATCATTTAATTATTTATCTATTGGAGAGTATTGATTCACCGTAAAAATAAACTAGTAGAAAGGTGATAGTTTAGACCGGGTGGGAGTGGATGCAACTCGACCACCTAATTTTACTCGTCTAAAAGAATTCACCAATAAATAACATGTTATTTATTTTAGTCACATCGTGAATTTCAAGTTTTCGTCGGAGAATGTTTGAACAGCCATTCTATTAGATGTGAGAAAGTGAGTGTGGCGACGAAACTTGTATTGGAGTGAAAGGCGGAAATCTTGCTGATAGGGATGTGATTTGCGTATCTATGGGGGGTACTGTAGATCATATTGGACTTGTTAGTTAGCACTGTTTTGTGAGTCTCATCGTACAAAAGAATATTTGGTATTAATTCACAGTAAATTAATGTCTTTGGGTATTACAGATCATGTTTGTGTGTTCAACGATTGATGTTTTAAGCTTCTTTAATGACCCTATTTATGGTGTACTGTATTGTGGCTCCTCTGAAGATAATGAAATATAAGTATCTTAACTAAATTGATTCACCCATCCACCACACACACCCCCTCCCCCCTCACCCCCTGAATCGTTGAGCAGAGCGAGTGTTTCAATCGTGACAGCCTTGGTGTGAGAGAGGAACCATTAGATTTGTATTTTTCCTCTAGTTTGTTTTACTGGCAGCTACGAGCATGACTACTACTGTATCTGTCCCAGTGTTAGGGTTATCATGGAGATATATTTACAGTGGTCACTCCTAAAGGAAGGTGTATCATATAATTTTCACTTGTATGTAATTATGGGTGTTGTCTTGGAGTATTTCTTGTTAAATTATAATGTATATTGTCTTCTGTGCTTAGATGAGATTCCTGTATTAGCTTCTTGGTAAAGGGAAAATTCTGATATATACAAGATGAGAACAGTCCGTGATGCTCAGCTGTTACCAGGAGTGACAGTATATTTTTACAAGGGGTTGAGGGAAGGGATGCGTCAGTCAGCCCTACGGACACCTTTATCTCTGGGCGTAACAAGGTAACTGTGGCTGATGGCTGTAACACCTGACCATTACTTGAGCGTTAATCACCCGCGTCGAATAATCAACTTCTGTTTTAACACCTCGTGAACTGGTTGTTTTTATATTATCTTTTCCTTTTTTCTTTTCGCTTGTTGAGGTGAGTAGGAGTGCGTGATGCGTGAAGGCTCAGTCGTGGACGCCATTACTAAACAATTGGATTTATCGTGTCTGAAGTGGTGTGTGTGTGTGTGTGTGTGTGTGTGTTTGTTCTGTGTAGTGTGTGAGGTGTGGTGACAGGTGAGGGAGATACTATATAATACATATAAATTTTCCTAACCAACATGATTTTTTTTAATGCAGAATTTATATCCTGCGTAAGTACAAGATGATAATTCTAACGCATATAAATATTACGAGATTTTAAAACTAATAGGAAAATGAAGGTTGTTTGAAGTTCAGGGCTCCGGTACTCGAGTTGTAGGCCTGATAGAGAGACACACATCATATTAGCTTCGTCTTAAAGTTGAATTCGGGGCAGTGGTGAGTGGGTGGAGAGGGGTAGTGGTGAGTGGGCGGATGTGGGACAGGGGAGAGGGGTAGTGGTGAGAGGGGGGGCAGGGGGGATGGGGAGCAGGGGAGGGGAAGGAGTCGTGTGTTCCCATGACTGACGACGAGAATGACAGGGAAAGTTAACTCACTTTTCTTTTGCCTTTCTTTTAACTCGTTTGGTGGTGAAGTTAATTTTTATACATTTTTTGGTTTCTTGTTAAATTGTTGGTGAAATCAATGTTTGTTTTTTATTCACGCATCCGTGGAGTGAAAGGTGTCTGTGTCTTTACGTCTGTGTTAATCTATCCAGCTTTGTGTAATAATTCGCGTGTGGTTCAGTGTTACAAACGCTGCAGGTGTCCTTGTACTGTCCACTGGCGTTATTTTCCCCAGCTGAGAGAAGAGAAGATTGATTTTCATTATCATCAACAAGTGCAGATGAGGAGATGTACAGATTAACAGTACAACACAAACCGTACCAACGATAAATGAATACACTCTTATCATATCATTTTGTACACCTTAAGAAAAACAAAGTCATGATAACGGGACACAATGTATATTACCTCACATCATCTTACCTGTACAGTCACGAACGAGTCATAACAGTCACCTTACACACCTGAGATTGAACTTTTGGAATGAGACCTCGAACTGCTTGACTACCCATAGATAACATTTGTTCTGACGCATTTAGATTTGGGTACAGTTTCGAACAGGAGTATAGTCTTCTCTTTTGTCGTTGTTGTTCGTGAGTACAAACATAGAGAGAGTAAAAGGAACCGTACTCTGCTTATTTCCTTATTTCCCACACATCAAATTTCTCACCTTCTCCAGGTGTGTGAATTACCCGTGTACAGTATATTTGTTATGATAAGAAATGGTTCAATGTCTTTCGTGAGTTCCAGTGGTTCACTTTCAGTAATGGGATCACCTGAAGAATAGCCACCCTAACCTTTTTGTTTCTACCTAAAGATTGATTACTCCAACATTAAATGGTTAGGTTAGGTTAGCATCAGGGTGCTTAATCTTTAGGTGAAAAAATTGGGGTGTAGATTCTTCAGGTGATCCCAGTAATGTATTGCAACAAAGGGCTCTCATTGTCCAAACTTCACCATACGTTTTGATTATGTAAAATAACTCAAGATAATTATTTAGATATATTACAAGGTAAAAACAAGTGTTATCGTCTAGAAATCACTTGCTGAATGCCATGCATTTTTTTCAGTACCATCATGAATATATTCCTTACTGAAGAAACTGATAGTGTTAGCGTATGCGATTGAGACAGAGAGACAGACAGATCAAAGAACCTCTCGGGAAGTCATACTTACTATCAACGGAGATAGGGGAGGAGAGGGTTACGAGAATCGAGTTGACGGAGTGAGAGTAAGAGGAAGACTTTAGACTCACCTCAGCTGAAAGAGAGAGCTCGTCATGCCCACTGGTTGGAACTGTCACTCCAGTTTAGATTAGGTTAAGTTAGGAACATTTTAGATTAAGATTAGATTAAGTATGAATACGTTTTAGCGTAGACTATGTTAAGTTAAGGAAAGTTTTAATTTAGATTAAGTTAGAGGATAAATATTTTAGGCTAGGTTAAGTTAGTTGACTTATTTCATATTAAATAAACACTTTGAAAATTTCGATTAATAGTAAGGTAATTGATCCAAATATGACTAAATAAATATTCGCAATAAAAATAAGCAGGGTAAGTTGCACAATTTATTTGAATTTATCTTTGTGAACGCGGATTGAATTCAGAGATTTTGGTGGGAAATGACTTGAACACCGGAGTGACCACAAGGAATTCTACATTTAATTCTTTTATTTTATATTGTCGTTTATTGTGATAAAAGATTGAATTTATTGCTTCAGAAACACACGTAATATGAGAGAAATTAGAGCTGTAATTTCCTGGGTATGACCAACTAAAACACTCCCATGAGTTTGCATGTTTGACTTAAGAGACAAAAGACGACTGACTTTCAAGCGCTTTACAAACTTCGAAACAAAAGCTCGATCAAGTCACGCCCCCCCCCCGACCAATACCACTTTTATTGTATGGTCTTTCTTCAGATCACCATCATGTATTATTTAAAATTTCCCTCTTGTACCCTTAGAATAAACATGCATCTACACTGTGATATTCATAAGTGTGTGTTGGTTGTACTGGCAGCGTTAAATTCCCATGAAAGTGGTAGCCTGAACAGGTACGCTAAGGGAGTATTATACAATTGCAATATTCTCTCTTACTCTTTCTCTTAACCTCAATTTCCTTCTATGATTCTTTTGTGGAAGCTATGTATCCAAAACTTCGATATTTGTTCTATACAATTATGATAAAATAACAACTGATAATTAAATTATCAGTTGTTGTTTTTTTCAACAAGAAACTCTTGGTTAAATTTGAACTTTTTTCCTCATACCCCTTCATCTCCCATGAGTTAAAACACAATACATCCCGTACTGCCATCATGCTAGAGGTTGTTTACCCGTGGCATATAGGAAGAGATCCATCAAGAGTGTGAGCCCCGCGGGTGTGTTGAGTAACGTGTTCGGTGTACAGTACAAGCTGCCAGGCCCGCTACCTTGTGGACCTCACCAGCGGCGGCCCTCCTGTCGTGGACGCGTGTGTAATATACCTGTTAGTGAAGAAGAAAAAAAGGTTGATGGAATGTAAAGTCAGACTAGCGGACAAAGTCAGCTTAGTGTTTGGTCCTATATCATATACATTATACAGTATTGTGAATTTATGTTGCGATTATAAGGTATTTAGCTGTTGTTAGCTGATTCTGGGGTGTCGAATATAGAATGGAAGTTTGTCAATGATGTTTGCTGAAAAATGTTAAAAGTAAACGTTGAAATTAGTAAAGAGTGTAATGTTAGTATGAATGGGGACACTTGGAGGTGGAGCATAAACTCAAATATTTAGGAGCAATGTAGAACAAAGAGTTCAGTTAATGTAAACCTTATTGAACCTATTTGATGATATAAGACCAGCTGTGGCAAGTTTACTACTGCGAGATGACAGCAGAAACATGTGTCAGTTCCCAATGGTCACTGAAACTCAGTGGGCAATAGATGTGATACTGACGTATCGTGTTTTATTTGTATGTATTTCGAGTAGCTTACTTAATAGAGTATTTCCTATTTTAGTCTTGTACTGCAGTATTATGTTCTTCCCAGGTGGCTGTTCAAGTGACCGTGTATGTGGAGGATGTGAACGACCACGCCCCCGTGTTCGTGGTCAAGAATATTACTGTAACTGTCGACGAACTCACACCAGTTGGTAAGAGTAATTCTTTGATCCCTTGTTAGTTGTTGTTTCTTAGGGAAAATAGCTTAATTTATATCGTTGAATTTCATATATTCCACACGAATATGCTGTCACTCAGATTACTGGATAACTGACCTAGTGTTGGCCTGACCTGGCCCATGGTGACCCATGCTAATGGGTTAACTTATTACAAAAGTCCGTTTTTTAGTGTTTTGTCATATCTGATAAAGAGCTTTAATAGTATCACTTTGCGTGTCTCCTCTTCCCAGAAATCTATAAAACGAGAGAAAGAGAGAGGGGTGCTAAATGACACCTGACCCCATATCCACCACACACTTCTCACATCACATACAAAACAGTAAAGTGAACTACCCAACTATTCACCCTGTAGGATGCCGCTACAGGAGACACCAAAACAGTGAAAGGCTGGCAGTCACTCATCGCCTTCTATAAATAACAATAAATAACAATTATGACTGGTTCCAGATTCAGTAGGTGATGACAATGTGCTTTGAAGAGTTTTGCTTGATCTTCCTGAGAGAAGATGAGTGACGACACGGTTGATATCACTTAAGTTAGATTTCTTAAAGGTTCATGCACAAAAAACTTTCCTCAAATATAACTGGAGGGTTAGGCAGACTGAGCTCACACAGCACGGGTGACGTGAATAGATAGTTGTACGTCCAAAAGGTTACAGTGATAATAGACCCCAACATAACCTACTGTTATATAACCATTAGGACTAGGCCCATTATGATTGGTCCCAATCCCAACAGTTCCTTGAGGTCCTTTTACCCAGGCACCGAAGTGACTGGCATCAACAGAGAGACGTAGCGTTGAATTAACCAAACTAAATCTGAGGTCACACTAAAGTTTCTACCCAGAATAAATCCACGGTAGCGTTGTTTTTTCGACAAACTCTTCAAGTTGTCTCTACAGCGACAACTTATTTGTTGTCGAAAGGGACAATATGAAGCATCTGAAAAGCTATGGTGTGGTGGGTTGAAATTTGCTCTAGTGTCTATTATATTAATAAAATTTACACCGTTCTTATTTTTTTATTAATGTTAAAATGTACATAAAATGTAAAAAGTGTATTTCAATAACAAAACACAAGCAAAAATATCATATAAAATAACGGCAGTAATAACCTAGCACTTGGCGGCCAGAAAATCAAATCAACCAGTATATAAAAAATAAAAAGAAGAAGAGTACATCACAATGGAAATTTCTTTTGACTTTGGAGTACTTGCGTCACTTTTGTAAACAAATATTGCTTGGACACTACAAATGCACACCAAATTTCCATGATAGATACTGCTAGTATTCCTTGGGGAGGAGAGTCTCAAATAGCAGTTAATGCTGCCATAGAAACAAACAATGAAGCCATCCTGTTCTCCAACCCAGCACAAACTAGTTGCATGAGCTGGGTGCCTGGCCGATGGCTCCTTTCGCCAGTGTGACCAGTGTGCGGATTGTACTTTGACTTATTTCCTGTGGATGAAATGCTATTGTGACCACAGCTTTAGTTGTTTTAGAGGGGGAGATCAACATCTTCCGTAATAGCCTATATTTATATTAACTTTTCATTAATGGTTGTACACCAGTACGAATTATTCTATAACAAGTTCATGAAATTCCTCCAGGTTTGACCATCCTTCCTGAGATTCGAGTGACGGACGAAGATAAACCTAATACTGCCAACTCAGAAGTTCAGCTCGAGTTACATATGGGAAATGAAGGCAACTATTTCACAATGGCTGACAGAAAACGGGGCTCCATTACGCTAGCCAAGCCCTTGGATTATGATGCTGGACCTAAGGAGTTCTTCTTAGGGGTTGTGGCTAAGGTAAGGATAAAAATAGGGTGGTTGTGGGAGGTTGTATACTACCCTATCATAAATATATAAAGAGATACACATACGTACAGGAAATAGATTAAATGGCATCGCAGTGTCAAGGTTCTAATATCATAAACTTCTCTGCAGGACATGGGCAAACCATCTCTCAGCTCTACAAGCACCATCACTGTGGTAGTGGTGGATGCTGACGACCTCCCTCCTGTGTTTCTACATCACCTCTACTTGGCTAAAATAGCAGAGCATCCTGGACCTGACACGGTTAGTTGATTCATCACATTTAAAGTATCTTTGATGAGTGTTACTTTGATGGAGGACTACAGCAGTGTGCTAGTTTATGGTACACAGAAGTGGTTTGGTCTGAGCCATCTTAATACAGTACTTGTACACTGTTAGAAATACTATATGTAGGACATTAAAGTTACAGTATCGTATATGTATGTACTGTGTATACAGTATAGGTTTATTGGAGCTACTCTACACACAGTCCCTTATGATATACAGTACTCCATTTTCTAATTAATAAACTGCTGTGCATATATAAGGAGTTATGGTTAAGTTATCACCGATTGGTTTTCAGCTGCTGACTTATTATCTTCTCCTTATGACTTTTAATACAGCACAGTACATGCTCCCACAGTAGCCCACACACTGCTGACAAGTACATCACATTATTTAGTTCTTGTGAATTATTTGGATTTATATCAGTAACTATCCTTTAATCCCAGACATAGGGCAAGTAACTTATGAAATTTCTGACATGAAGATAAATAACAATTCAATGTTTGTATAATCAATTTTTCTTTCAGGGGTTAAGTGTCCACCAAGAAGTGCTGGCGTCCCCAAGTCCTCTGAGTGCTAGAGATGGAGATGTGGGGCAGAACACTAGTCTCCGTTACACTCTGGTCGAGTCTCCTGCAGCTGAACACTTCACCCTTGACCCAGACACTGGTCGACTTTACCTCACTAAGCACCTGGACAGGGAAAAACTCACAGATAATACCATGACCTTACATGTCAGGGCAGAACAGGTCAGCTCATTAATTGATTAGATCAGGTAAAGATTGCTAAAACATGGATGGCATTATTGAAGTGATATTGTTTTCTTTACTGTTCTAAATACAGCACTATACAGGTATCTGTTTTTTGTTTGTTGCTGTCTTAGGTTAGTATGTATTGATGCAGGTTAGCTGCAGTTACTTTCTTTAATTAAAACAATAACATTGCAGGTGGACAACCCTCGACGTGTGGGGTCAACTGTGATGGAGGTGATGGTCGAGGACGTTAACGACAACCTACCCCAGTTTACCCACGATGTTTACTCCATCTCTATTGTAGAAAACCTTCCCTCAGGGTTTAGTGTTGTGCAGGTGTCCGCAACAGATTCTGATGAGGTATGCTGTGGGCATCTTGAAATGTTTAAGTTTTGTTTTAGATTGTGTATGTGTCAGGCAAGCACATAATTCATTTTTTGCTTCATTTTATGGATAACTTGCAGATAAAAGTGCAGTGATCAGTAACTGAAGCTCAAAGCATTCGTCACATAAACATATACATTTGAGGGATAACAAGCATTGCATTGGCTGGGATAATGCCTCCTCATTATTACCTTGTAATTCAATTGATAGTAGGAACATCATAGAATCGAGTCTCATTAAACATACCGAAGCATTCAACATGAATTTGAGTAATGGCATGTACAAACTGGACAATTTTCTAATTAAGAAGATTTGTAACCAGTTGAGAAGGTTGGGTCACCTTACCCTCTGACCTGACTACCGACCGTTGCGGTGCTATTTAAAGATTAGTAGGGTCATTACCTAATACCTGACCATTGTAGACCTGGTCTCACCCTCCTCTGTATATATACACCTTGTTTTGTACTTCTCTTTAGTCTGTACTCACCCCTGAAGATGTGAATTACACGAAAGTGCTTGGGAACTTCGTGTTTTCTTCTTTCCTTGTGGTTATCAGCATATACCTAGATCACGCGCACCGACAGTGATTTACTTGCATATGCAATAGATGATCATAAATACAGTACAGGGGTACACAGAATTCTTAATTCATATACTGTATGTGCTCACCCAGTTATAGAAACTTCGACACAACTGTACATAAACAAATGTATTCTTTCAAAAAGTTGCAGAGTGCTATGCGACAGGACAATGCTGAGGGAAGGTCAAATGTCAGACTCACAACTTTTTCTGGAGTACAATATACAGTATCTTCTGATTAAATACTTATATGTACAATATTATGATAAAACTTTAGATTAATGTGTGGCATCTCTACACAAAATGTAGAACACCACATTCAAGCTTTTTGTTTAAGGTCAAGCTCTCAGCTGAAATTCAACAGTAAATAATGGCAAGAAATGTTTGTTGTACTGTGGTACAATACTCTTGTAAGGTTGCAGCAATTTAATTTATTAAAAAATAATTCTATTATACTGGGTACTTATTATTATAAATTTCTTCACATGTTATGAAATGAAACTTCAAAATTATATTGATAACAACATTTTGTTTCAGGGATTAAATGGAGCCTTCAATTACCATGTTGTTGGTGGAGGTGGAGCTCTGGCTGTCAACCCCCTCTCTGGCTGGTTGACTGTGGCCAATCACAAATTACTGGACAGGGAGGAATCTCCAGTCATCAGTCTGTATGTATGTGCTAACCAAATAGTACCTCTTGTAAAGTCCACCTCAAATGAAAGTGTCACTGTCCCACCATCAGAAGTTGAGAATGTTGGTACTAGTCGAGTGAAGCTACAGGAAGGCCTTGATTATGAGGACACAGTGACAAAAATCTCAGGAGAATTGATGGAGATGGATTGGCATTCAGAAACTACAGAAAATCCTTCAACAGAGACTTTGGGTTCTACACCAAGAAGACAAAACTCTAACACTCGAGCCACTGTGCCACTCCTGAGGCAGGTAACACAACCAAATCACAGACAAGCACCTGAACGAGAATCTTCCTTCGTGTCTCGACGCAACAGATCTAAGAGGCAGAGTTTTCATACAGAAACAGAAACAAATATATCCAAAGAAAACATTAAAAGAGCAGTATCAGACCAGAGTTCTTCTAGGGATATAAGGAGAACATTGCCAAGAAAGGAAATGCATCAACAAGGATATCCAGCAAGTGGTCAAACAATTTCAAATATAGGAAAGGAATATGTAGACAGCAGAAGTCAGGGGTCACTGAATAGCAGATCAATAGGACCACTTGCAAGCCCTGTGTCCTTTCCAAATGCTTCATCAAGACCCTTACCACCTGAAGATACAGAAAAAGGAAAATATATAAGACAAAATGTTTGGCAAGAAGTCAACAACCGTTCCAGAAGAGAAGCTGGCAGTGAAGTTCAGTGGATTAGGTCAGCAAACCTTACAGCAATCACTGGAGGACTGAGTAATGGTGCAGAAGTGACTACTTTATTGCCAGATTTTGAATCAAAATCATGTGCCAAGATTGAGCTGAAATTACTTGATGCAAATGATAACAATCCAGTGTTTCTTCCATCAAACCAATATCAGTTCTCTATAACAGAAGATGCACAAGAGGGGGACATCATAGGATCAGTGAGTATATGTTGTCATAATATCTTTCCTTTTACCACCTTTTTCCCCGGGCTCCTTCCCCAGCATAATGTACTTGGTTAAAGGCTTTTACATACAGTACTCTTCTTTGTTCAAATTTCATACAATGGTACTATTACATGCTGATTAAGGGTCTGGGTTTACAATTTAAATATTCAAGTGTAATTAGTGTTAATTGATGACCTTTGAAATATTTATGAATGGATTCATAATTTTGAAAAAGGAGGTGAATATGGAGGAAAATTGTGTTATGAATTGATTGTTTCTAACTTTTGATAATGTGGGTTGTGCAAAAAGGTAGTAGATGTGTGAACCTAACTCCCTCTTGAATCTAACACTGTATACATTTATTTTTACATAAATAAGAATTAAAGAGTCACATTTGTTTTTATTGAAGCTACTTATACATAGTCAATATACAGTACAGTAGTATTTACTTCTTCCTAGTTATTATTCAGCCAACTTTTTTTTATGGCAGGTTATTGCAGAGGACTTGGATGAAGGAGGTAATGGTGAAGTCACTTACAAGATCCAGACACGAGGAAACACCACAAGAAGCAGTTTGAATGATGCTATCACCATGGACAGTGTTAAAGGTGTCCTTTCGCTAGTGTCTAAATTGCCCCCTGGTCAGGTGACAGTCTTTGTTGAAGCTTCTGACACTCCTGCTAATCCATCAGAGACAAGGACTTCATTAGCTATTATTACCATAGAGTAAGTACAGATAATATAGTATATATTGTCACATAAATACAGTCATTGATACTCCTGGCTTAATAATTGAGAAACCTGACTTATTTTTACATTAATATGTTTATTGTTAAATGTATAATAAAATGTCTCCTAATTTGTGTAAAAGGGTCATGTTGATTTTTGTTTCATTATTATGTGTTCAAGTTAAACAGCTAATATCTCTTATATCATTTTTTATTGTTGAAATTATATTATTTTACTTAAGAAGGGCTTGTGCATTCTCTTTCTTTACTCATGTTTTTATTATTATTTTGTTCTATTTTGCCTTTCTTCTCTACTCTTCCTCATTAACCTCCCTCTCTATCTTCATTTTTATTTTTTCTCTACTTTCAATTTTTTATTCAATTACCTTATGGTTTATGAGAACTTTCACTCTCTGTATGTACAAATGTTATTCCATCTCTCCTCAGTGTGAAGGCAACTCACTCGTGGGAACCAAGATTTGTAGGAGCACCATTTGAGTTGTGGGTTGGTGGTGATGCTCCTGTAGGGACAAGTGTTGGCCAGGTCCGTGTGGTGGACTTGCCTGGACCAGAACTCTTGTTTGACATGTTTCACTCCTACTCTGAAGGAGGTAAGTTTGAAATATACAGAATGTGTACCGGTAATGTGTTTTTTGACTTATCTGAAAAGTTACATATGAGATTATTATTGAATGAATATACTCTGTGTGATTATATTGAGTCTGTATGTATCTACGTATATAAATGTGTGTTTATGTGTGTACCGGTACCTCTATGTATATGTATGTATATACCATGCAATGGAGGATTTTCCACTGAATTTTGCTTAATTTCTAGGGAGTGAAAGTTCTATTTTTTTTATTGTCTCCATTTAGTTTTATTAACAAACTTGAAGGGAATTTTTCTCTCTCAATTTATGTTAATTTATCCCCAGTTCCTTTTGCAATTGAGGAGTCATCAGGCATTGTGGCAGTACTGTCACCGCTGCAGCAGTACTCGCAACCCATCTATGACTTTGAGGTAGTGGTGACAGATGGCAGGTCATCCTTGGCTACTAACTTGACCATCCATGTAGCTCAGTCCCAGAGATCCACAAACAGGCGCGATACCATCATCCAGTTTACCATCCAGGTGAGAAAGGTGTTTCCCTTCTTTCTTAAGTACAGTATATATTTTTGTATCTTACTATAATAATAATAATAATAATAATAATAATAATAATAATAATAATAATAATAATAATAATAATAATAATAATAATAATAATAATAATAATAATAATAATAATAATAATAATGGTTGCCCCTCGTGTAATGAGGATGGCCGGCCGTAGGGCCACCAAGGCGTGAATTTGTTCAAGGTGTAGAAGCCGTCGCCAACACAACAACCACACCCTAAATTAACGATCTGAGTAACCCAGTGTCAAGGAATAGTCCGAGAAGACTGGACAACTTGCCAACTGCACTGACTAACCATTACCCGGAAGAGAGCGGAATACAATCTGCAAATCGATTAACATCCAGGTTTCCAATTACTGCTGGGTAGACAGAGGCAAATGGTGTAAAGAAATTTGCCCATAGTTTCACCCTGCCTGGGGATCGAACCCGGGTCCGCTCACTTGTGAGGCGAGCTTTAACAACAGGTAGAAATATCCTCGTCTAATTCATCATATCCTTAACATAGGAACGGACTTTAACAACAGGTAGAAATATATCCATCTAATTCATCATATCCTTAACATAGGATTGGACTCTAACAACAGATAAAAATATCCGCATCTAATTCATCATATCTTCAACTTGTACTTGCACTATACTGTACATAATAATTCTTGACATCCAAGTTGATATACGCACAGTGTTTCTTATCATTTCACTACACATTCCAAATTGAAGAAATAATGTTTATATTTTGTCTGCAGGAAAACCTCTCTGGTGGTGTGGTTGGGGATGTGGTGGCTGCACTACGGAGTATGGGAGCCAGGATAGCCCCAGACCCACAGTTTGAATTGGTATGTCCTACAGTGTTTCAAGTGCCCAAGACATAGAGATATCAGTAATTTTCCAGTTACCTTGACAAACACAAAATTATGTTGCCTGTGTCCTAGTGCTAGACAGTCATTAGTAAGTCATCATTACAGGTGTTCATTAGTTAGCCTAATAAATGTGTTCCTTTAAAGTGAAATTAAAAATTTTTTGGGAAGAATTGTAAAGGTGAGGGTTGTGTAACAATTGTTGAATAGTGTAAATACAAAATTGGGGTGTACAAACAGCCCATCTACTGGTTTATACAAGTTACAGTATAGACAAATGGTTAAATTGAAAAATACTTTTCTAGTTAGCAAAATTAATCATACTATATACAGTACTGTACTGTGATTTTCAGCAAAATCTAATTTTTGGCCCAAAACCACCAAAAATGTAAGTCTTACACCTTACAAAATTTTTGACCATGATATACTTTTTTCTCAGAATTGATGAGTAATTAGCATTGAAAAATGTCAGTAAAATCTTTCAAGGATCATTTTGGCCACTAATTACTCTGCAGTCGAATCGTGGACCACATATTCATAATCAGCAAGCTCAGGAGTACCCATACAGTATTGTACAGGTATTGAATTCCTAATAATTTTCCATAATGGAGCCTCAGATATTGTGTAAGACGCATTGTTTTCTTCAGTGTAAGGCAGCCTGAGTGGATGGATTCAGTGTTGCCAAGTCAAATAGGAGAATATCACTACTGGACCTTCTAAGAATTGCTAGAATATCACCAAATTTAAAAGACATATATATATCAAAAGCAATCACTGCTGGTGAATTTACTTAAAAAATCCCTAGAAATTTCAATATTGCTGAGCACAGAATGTTACCAGAGGAGATGGTAGTTCTCCAGGTGATAGAATCACCAAATTGGACTCAGTGGGCTGGGCTCTCCAAGCACTAGGTCTTAGTTTGTTGTTACACTTTGTCCAGCCAGAATATACTGTACTGTATAGCACATCCAGTGTAATTCATAATGTCATTTTGTTTGTACAGTGGTTCCCCATGGTCTTACCTGGTGCTCCAGCTTTTATTAAGATATGGAAAGTGAACTTTATGTTAATTAGAAATAAAATACTGTTTTTGACAGTGTGGAATGAGTAAGACAATGATATGTACAACACAATACAGTACTGTATATCTTATGGTAAGTATTAGATTTTAACCTTTATGTTCACATATACAGTACCATGTTTATTATAGTGAACAGTGTACAATATTTACTATGAATAATTTTTTCACTTATTATTACAAGCAGACATCTTTAAAGGCTTCTTGATCTGTATTGACTCATCTATTACAATTACTAGATTCATGAAGTGCTGTGTATTCTATCTGAATTTTATCCATAATATTTTTTTTTATGATTCTTTATTTACATATTTTTCTCCACAGGTGAGTCCAGAGGCACGACATTACTTTGCCCTGGCCCAAGATGCAACCCTGTACACTGTAGCACCACTTGATTATGAGAGCCATCCAAACCACACACTGGTGGTGGTCAGCGCCAGGACCTCTGACATATTCTACGTTCACGTACAGGTTTGTCTCATTGACTTGGTTCATGTTAGAAAAATAGAACAAATGGATGGAAGAAAGAAAAGGTGAAAATGATTAAAAGTAGCAAGTAAAGATTTCTCAGAATTACTAAATTACTCAATAATTTTAAAGAGAATAAACAGTTGAGAAAACATCAAAGATTTAATATACCTGCAAAAACAAAGGAATCAGAACCTATTGTTTACATCCTGAGATAAACACATTTATCATATTACACTGTATTATACTCCTTCCTGCTCCCACACAAATTGTTGGTGCAGTTAGCTTGGCTAATATATGTCCATGTCCATTGTAGGTAGAGGATGTAAATGACAATGCTCCTCAGTTCAATGCAGTGAGCTATGAGGGTACTATCAGGGAGAATGCGCTACCTGGCACCCAGGTTGGAATCCTTCCCACTATTCATGTAAGTGAACCATGATCCCTATGTAGAAATGTATGTTGATATACTTGGCATTTCTTTTTTTTTTTAATGAATACATTATTTTATGGCATAGAGACATCCAATTTGAAGACTACAGATACTTATTAATTGTTATAATAAAAATCCTCATTCAGACACTAAAATATAGTTTTTCCATTCAGGTGGTTGACAGGGACAAATACCCAGGATCAACATACTACCTACAGCTGCTGGGTGATTCATCTCCCCTCTTCTCCATAGATTCATCTACTGGTCATGTCACCTTTGTGGGTGAAGCTCTAGACAGGGAGGTGAAGGAGGCCTATACGCTTCATTTGGTGGCTCGAGATGATGGCAACCTCACCTCTACTGCTAACCTTACCATCACAGTCGAGGACATCAATGATAATGCCCCAAAATTCAAACCTAGAGAACCACTTATCTCAGCCAAAGAGGATATTGAAGAGAGCAGTTCCAGAAAATTACCTGACACTTCAGATCTCGAGTACCTGGCAGATCTAGAGAGGTCACTTATACGTATTCCGGAGTCACTCCCAATAGGGAGCCAAGTAACACAGCTCACAGCAACAGACGAAGACGAGAAGCTTTTTGCAGATATTCGTTTTATGATTACATCAGAAAAGTCATTTAGTTTTACAAGAGTGAAAAATTCTCCACCTGTTCTCCACAAAACACAGAAGTTTTCTATTGATGCTAAAACAGGTGTTGTAACAGTAGCTGGAGTTCTGGAAGCTGATCACTTTTATCTTGTGAATGTATCTGCTACAGATGGTGGTGGTTTATCATCTTATACTACAGTGACTGTTGCTGTATTTGATGTCAATGATCATTCACCTCGTTTTGAGCGTCCTGTGTACAACTTTGAAGTGGTTGAGGGGGAATATCTAGTAGGTGAGGTGGGCAAGGTTGTGGCATATGACCAAGATATGGGAAATAATGCCAAAATTCATTATCAAATAATTTTTTATAAAAATACCAGTGAAGATCATATCTTTCCATTTAGGGTTGTAGAAACTTCTGGAACCATTTTAGCCACCGGGACAGTAGATCGGGAGGAGCGTGAGGTATATGAGTTTTCTGTTGTAGCTACAGACTTAGGGGACCCTCAGCTCTCATCCTCTGTCCTGGTCCACATTGACATTATTGATATAAATGATCATAGCCCAGTATTCTATGGTTATGAGGAAGTTGTTAATCCTCAAGATACATCTGTGAATATTTCAGTAGAACCTTTTGCTGCTCACGTTACTCCAATTTATACGGCTGTGGTGTCGGAAAATGCTCCCAAAAACACAATTATTTCTAAAATATTTGCCAATGATTCAGACTCCAGCTCCTCAGGCAATGGTATCATACTGTACAAGCTCGAAGGTGGTGAGGATAAATTTGCTATTGACTCCAAAAATGGCACTGTATACACTGTTGGCTCCTTGGACTATGAGCGCTGGCCGGAACATAACCTGACTGTGCTGGCTCAAGATCTTGGTTCTTCTCCCCTCACTGCATCTGCCTTAATCATGATCACAGTGGTGGATGTCAAGGAAGACCTAACTACTCGCCTTTTTGATCGAGAAGAATATAGGGTAAGTCTTATCATGCTGTAGTATTAGTTATCTGCTAAATTTCTTGGTAGGGGAGATGCACATAACTACAGCAGGAAACACAATGACATAGGTAATGATGTTCAGTTTCCCTTCACTAGCCCTGTGTTTGTTTATATTTGACAGAAGGAAACTCACACTAGTAAACAAACAATGGAATCAAAGTAAAACAATATTAAAACAAATATCTCAATGCAATGATTTGTAGAATGTTTATAATACGAGCCCCTGAAAATATACTAGTGAAGGGGACTGTACCTCTTATAGAAAGATATTTTGTCTTGCTTGTCTTGGGAAATAAAACTACAAATGTCTGGTTGATCTGAGATGTGTGTATGTTGTGCATTATAAGATAATGTGCAGAAGGGAAAATATATTCTGTACTTTGAGGAGTTTCTCTGACAAGATGCTGGAATAAATAGTGAAATGAAGGTAGATGTTTGTGTGTATGAGACTTGAACAGTGTGCAATACACTTAATTACATGTAGTATGTAGTTAATTGTTTGAATAACTGGTAATTTCCTTTTCAACAGATACTGATAACAGAGAATAACAACACACCTCTACTGTTGGTTGACGTCAATGTGAGGGATTCCTTTGCTGGGCATCGTCTGCACTTTCAACTGGCTGACCCAGAGATGACAGGCACAGTGGCAGTCGACTCTCATTCTGGTGAAGTGTACCTCATAGCCAGCCTTGACAGGGAGACGAAGGACCTGTACCGCTTCAAGGTACAGTACTATACAGCAGTAATGGTTCATTAAAAAACAATTTGAGTGTTGCAGTAACCCAGGCAGAGTATACTGTAAACTTATTCATTAGTTAATGGTGTATGTGACTGAGTGATGTAACTTTACTAAGATGGTTCTGCTCTGATAACTTCTGATAGAGTTATGGGTCTTTGCTGTCTACTAAGCATCTGCCAGGGGATATGTCAACTTACTGTGACATATTTTAACTAAAGAAGTGAAGAATTCCATATACTGTACTTATCATGAGTCATATAGGTGGATTAGGAGTGTGATTTTCGGTTTTTATTGGATTTCCAACATTTTTGGAAATTCCAGGTTGACCCACGTGAATTGCTCAAATCTGAGGAGCAAATATGGAGGGGGGTCAAGGTCTTTGCTGATGTTTATCACTAAGCCTAATGATAATCATCCTGATCATAGCTGGTTAAATAAAATAGTCAATCTGGTAGCCAGTGACAATTATCATCTTTAATTTCCCAATACAGGGTGTATACAGTACATATTATTGAAAACCTCAATTTTTTTTTATTCTGTCATAATAAATACCGAATTAATGTACAGTACCTGGAATTTATCAAGTTTATATCTGGAAAACCCAGAAAAATTGGGGAATTTTGTTATGTCTGGCTAGTAGACACCCTGATTATGTTAAATTTTCTTTGCAGGTACGAGCAGTTCAGCCAGAGCGAGGTCGAGCATTGGAGCATTTCTACCAGGAGGCAACTGAGACAGAGCTTTTGGAGTATACAGTCACGTCATCTGCCAAGGCTTCAAAAACAGCTGATCCTTTATTATTATTGGCTGTTGAGGAGGCTTCAAAGCTACTGACTAATACTTCAGGGCAGGTCATTGATACTCCTGCCCGCGCCCTCCCTCAACGCAGTGCAAGTAAGTTTAATATGTACATCACAATGATTCGGTATACTATGGTTGTATACTGTATAATAATTACATTTGTCACTGTTCCCTTCTTTATTCCAGCTGTGTTTTATCTTGTCTGTATAAATTAAGATCTTAGATACGGTACAGGTATTGACATTATTATTTTACTCATTTGAAGTTTATGTACAGGACAGTAGTTTTTCTTTCTTTAAATTTTGTTTACTCAATCTAATTTTCTACTTTACTACATGAACTTCTTTTATTTTTTTATTTTTTTATTTATTCATTTTTTGGTAAAAACCAAACAAGTACATTATGCCAACAGGAAGGAAGAGCAGCAGTGTTGTGGTGGATGGTGGTGAGGAACTTGGCCTTGAAGAGGTGTGGGTGACAGTGGTTGTGGAGGACCAGAACGATAACTCTCCTAAGTTCCTTCCTCATGGTCGGCCAATTGTTGCAGCGGTCCCTGCATCAGCAGCTTATGGACACTTTGTTACCCGCATCACTGTTAGTGCAGTGTTTGACCCAAAATATCATTTGGGTTATTAATTTTTATAAGAAACTACAATGGATATGCAAGAAATTTTTAATACAAATTTCCTTCATGAGTAAATATGAAAATGTGCAGATAAATTGATATTGAAGCCAAAATGAAATTTAAAAACTTTTAAGTGATCACAGATATCTGACAAATCTGTAATACAGTACTGACATTTTAGTTGATGCACTTGTATATTTTTCAGGCACAAGATCCAGATTTAGGTATCAATGGAGAAGTGCAGTATGAGATCTTGCCTGGGGAGGGAGCACAGGATGCTACCACTAAATTCACTGTTGATCCTACATCTGGCCAGGTAAGTAAACTTGATATTGTTCTAACTATAGAACACTAGCCATTATAGAATGCATTATCTAAAAATGTATGAAAAGATGGAACTGAAGATGAGTTGAATACTAAATCAAGATTTTAATACAGACCTAATGAAGCTAGATGCATAAATATTGTACCCTACAGGTAGTGGTGATTGGGTCACTAGAAAACGAGGCGGGACAGATGTTTGGATTTGACGTAAGAGCCACAGATCAACAAGGTGCTCCTACTGGGCGCACAGCCATTGCAAATGTTTTTGTAAGTTTCACCAATATGTAAAGTAGATGAAGTACAGTAAATCCTCTCAATAATAGACCTCTCTGTACTGGATATTCTCATAAACAGAATCCTCCCAATATTGGACAGACTTGTAAGAATTACGGTAGTTCAATATTGGGAGGGTTTACTGTACTGTACCTGTATTGATATAATTTTAGGATGAAGGGTACTGTAGTTCATGATACCCATATTGTGGTTATGGGTCGTGTGTTAGGTCAGGCTGTTGTGTGCCTCTCTTGGGGTACAGTACCAACCATGGTGGTTATGCTGACTCATCATAACAGAACAGCATTTTCATGTTCCCTGAGTGCCATGCCAATGCTATGACACACCTGTGGTTGTTTTTCCTAACATATTTTGCTTGCTATACTGATTCTCTGGATAAAAGTATCCCAAAAGTTTAGGATGTTAACATTTAAGGCCCAAAAGACTTTTAAATAGTCAAACTGACAAATTTCTTTTGGCATTTATTCATAGAAAACTGCATTTCAGGAATTAAGCAGCCTTTGTGACTACCATCATGCCATGTCTAGCCATTGTTGTTCTACACCATATGAAAGAGAGTGGAGACTGGTTATTCTCTTGCTTTTAATCATAAATAGAGGATTGAACTGTGAAATTGTACTATATATGACAGAGGAGAGAAAGCAAGTTACCTGTGGGAAACTGTGATTGTTAAAGACCTCAAATGTTGTACTGAGAGTAAATCTACAAGTTCCAGTACGTGGAGGGTAATGATGCCTACCTTTAAGATGTTTCGATAATTATTTATTCGTTGGGACAGAATTAAGATACAGATAATCCTCGTTTATTGCAGATCTGCATATCACTATACTGTATTGATTTATTACAACTTAATTTTCATTACCAAGATATTTGATTATTGCAGAGTTTTTTGGTTTTTGTAATGCTATCATAAATAATATATATTAAAACCACAAAAAAAAATTACTGCCAGCTGAGCTGAGATCAATGAAAACCTTATAAATGTCCTACTTGGTGTGGAAGACAATGGCATTCTAACACTGTTTTTATTTTTTCCAGGTGTTTGAATCTAAATGAACCTCAGTCTGACTATATTGCAAGAAATGAATCAAACTTAACTCCCATAGATTTAATTTTACAGTTGTTTTGTTACATAAAACAGGTACACGTCCTTGGTGCTGGAGGTCACCTGGTGATGGAGGTTGGAGCAACACCCAGAGATGTGGAGCCTCACCTACATCACATTCAGGGGTGAGGACCTTGACACACTCAAACTTTTATTCTTCTTTTAAATTTCATATACGTATGAGCTCATGTACATCACTCATGGTGTAAGAGTTGTACCACTAAATGGTCATGATATGTTGATGACACAGTTGCTACAACAGTGGTCTTATAAATAATGTGTACTGTACTGCAAGTCACTTATTACAACAGGTAAACTTTATATAATACTGTTTCATCAACATTTTGTTGTTCTAGAGGAAATTTAATTATAGAAAAAAATATACAGTATATATATAAAAGGATTCAAAGGTTCAACACAGGACATGTAACTTGTAATGCTCTTGTCTTTGATTTGAGCTGTGCACTCAATGAATGAGAGTGGCTTACTCTGATCATAACACGGTCAAGCAGTTCCAGCTCCAGTGTTAGGTGTTTATAGAATATTTTTATTTATAATCAAATCCTTTTTCCTCAGGATGTTAACTAATGTCTCTGGTCTAGACGTTCGGGTCCAAAGGATTGCACCTCACATAGATGGTGATGCAGCACATACCACAGCGTAAGTATCCTCCATTTTGGGATACTGAATCACATACAGGTACAGGGTATAAGTGTTTTGTGAAGGTGTATGTTTGTTATTGGTATTCATTTGTCATGTACAATACTTATAAGGAGGTTGAGGATAAAGTAAAGTGTCTTACAGCTGTTCATGATGATTCCACATATCTTATAAGTGTTCATTATGACTCCAAGTGCCTCACAGGTACCAATAAGGAATCCAAGTGCCTCACAGGTACCAATAAGGAATCCAAGTGCCTCACAGGTGCTAATAATGAACCCAGGTGACTCACAGATTCATGCAATGAAGCCAAGTGACTTACAGGTCCTCAAAGTGTTGCCATGTGATCCACAGGTGCTCATAATGATGCCGTAGGTCTAGCAGGACCTCATATTGATGTCAAATGACTCGCATATATTTATAATGACCCCAGTTGTCTCATAGGCTCTATTGATAATCCTAAGTGATTCATTAATGATTATGATAATGCTAAGTGATTTACAGAGGCTTAGAATGAAGCCAAGTGACTCACAGGTGATCCTAATGACCAAATAGTAAGCTGACAAGTGGTGGAGAGGAAAGAATAATGATGCCACAAGGCAACAGTTAAGCAAAACAATGTACAGGACATTAATTAGGAATAAATTAAATATAGAATTCATTGTATTGTGTTGTGAAGTAGTGACCTGTGCCCTTTCATCATTATTAACTTTTTATAATTATGTGATTCATGTTTACAGGACAGATGTATATGTTTATGCAGTTGACCCTGTCACCCAATCTGTAGTTGAAGCTGCTCAGTTACATCAGGCACTCAGAGGGAGGAAGACCCAGTTGAGGTCACTCCTTCCCACAGGCCTCCAGTTCAAAGGGATTAGGATGCCAATGCCATCTAAGCAAGGACATGTACTGCAGGTTGGTCAACTGATTGAGTTAAAGGTTTTTGTATACAACATTATGACAATTTAAATCAATAGTTACTTCCTAAAACAAATGCATACAAATTAATTTTTTTGGTCAGTTTATGCATTTGCTAAATATACAAGAATGTAATATATGATATATAAAATATTAAATACACAGGTACTCCTTAATAAAAGTGTGTGCAAATGCCTCATAGGTAATGTTTGGAAAGTGAATGCACTTGAAATCAATGGGCAGTACGTGCAACTCCCCAAGTGTACACTGTAAGGGTATACAAGGCTGTCTTTTAGACTTGCTGCTTCTAGAGAGCAATCTGTATGGCCAATCTCCCTTTAAAAATGTTTATTGTGATGGAGAGGAATCGGCAATCACCAGATCAGCTTCACTAGATTTCACAAATGACATATACACTAACAGGAGCCCCTTGGCTTAAAAGCTTAGATAAAAAGCAAGATTTCAGGTTTAATCTTCCAATTTTTATGCTTGATAGGGACTACCTGATCAGCAAGTTACTACAGTACATCATGCTGATAATGTTACTGTTGTATGTAGAGATACAAAATTGAGCTTAATTGAAGTTTTTCAACCATCCTGTTGTCGTCTTATTTTTCTTCATTTGTACATTTTATTCAGTGCTATGCTATAAAGAAATGACTCTAATATCAATCTGTCTTTTTCCTGTGACTCTTCTCTTGAACTAGACTGCAGAGTTGGCCATTCTGGTGGGAGCTGTGGTGGTGTTCCTTGTCACCGTGACCACTATCACTTGCCTCTGTTACAAACAACGAAAAAGGTACCACTCTTTGTTGGGTTTATTTTTTTCTTACTCTGTCAAGTCTTTCCCTGCTATGATGTAGGTAGAAAACTAAATTGGGAAAATGTATAGGGTACAGGGGGAAACTATTGAATTCTCTCCAGAGTTTCAATAAGGAGAGTGAAAGCATAAATACAGTATCGTAAGAGTTTGTTGGGAAGAGGGAAATTATAGTTCACAGTGAAAACAAAACTGCCAAGGATGTGCAATGTCACCATAGTTTTTTAGCACTTTCATAGGGAAGGGTGATAAGGGAAGTGAAACTAAAAGTTGTGGAAAGTGATAAAGTTCAAGTTTGGTGAATAATTATTCAAGTTGCTACTGTTTGCACATGGCACTTATAATGTGTGATTTGAAAGAAGAGTTGCAGCTCTTATTGAGTTTGGAAGAATGTACTGTAGTCGTTACTAGGAGAAAGTTGATAGAGAATATGAACTGAATTAAAAGGCAGAAAATAAATAGATAGTATGTAAGATATGGAAAGCTTTTAGTTTGAATAGATATAAAATGGAGGAAATAGAGTGTTTCACATTTCTGAGAATAGATTATGAAGAAGTTAGTAACTATCTTTAAATCTTCAGCTATTGATGTAGTTTTGGTTTCTTTCTCCAACAGCCGTCGCAAGCCTATGCCATTACCACCATTGATGACTGCTAGTGGGATTCCTGTGATGCCTTTGGCCTACCCTGGACCTTTTGCTGCCCCCTACACACACATGAGTGACCATAGTAGTGCAGATTCAACTGAGGCCCAAGAACTGCCTCCTGACCATCTGCACTACCACCATGACCCAGGTCACTACCCCCAAGAAATCGTACATTACCCTCAAGACCTAGCACATTATCCACACCTCCCACCCAGACGACGTTGTGGGGCTCACAGCTATCATTCTGATCATGAGGTAAACAGAAAACAGTGTATCCCTAAATTGAAAAAAAGGAGGCTAGCATTTTTCGTGTGTGTGTGTGATTACTTCTCACGATAATATGTGAAGGATTGCAGTTTGGTTTGTGTTACATTAGTTCTTGTGTTAATCCCTTACAGTAACCAATGACTTAAGGGGATAATAGTTCAGTAATGGCATATCTAGACATTTTAATAATTACAGTATTTAAATAAGATATTAAATTATTAACTTCACTAATACTAATATGTGTAAATAGTTGCAGCGTTCCTGTGGCAGTGAACGGGTTTCCTCCCACACTGATGAGGATGACACCGTTCCTGTGTGTCTTCATCACGCTCCATCCCGGAAGCGTCGTAGAGGTCCTCAGCCTGGTGGTGGTCCTCTGCATGGACAAGCTAAACGTGGCCCTTCTAGAGTAGGTTCACCATTTCAGGAAGAACCATCAAGTTCAGATCTGGACGAGAGGGATCATGCCCCTGCACAAATCAGCATTCCCAAACCACCTCGATGTTGTGCAGAAGATAGGTCATTATTCTGATGTTTTCTATAAACAGAGTACTACTGTACTGTACTGTACTGTATTCTACTTTACTGTACTGTACTGTACTGTACTGTACTGTATTGTACCCTAGTGTACTGTACTGTACTGTACTGTACTGTACTGTACTGTACTGTATTCTACTGTACTGTACTGTACTGTGCTGTACTGTGCTGTGTTGTACAGTACTGTACTGTACTGTACCCTAGTGTACTGTACTGTGCTGTGCTGTGCTGTACTGTACTGTACTGTACTGTACTGTACTATACTGTACTGTACTGTACTGTATTGTGCTGTGCTGTGCTGTGCTGTGCTGTACAGTATTGTACAGTACTGTACTGTACTGTACTTTGCTGTACTGTACTGTACTGTACTGTACTTTGCTGTACTGTACATGTACTGTACTGTACTGTATTCTACTTTACTTTACTGTACTGTACCGTACTGTACTGTACTGTACTGTACTGTACCTGCTTATGTAAATTATTAATGTTATCAAATCAATATTAATATAATTAGCCCAGTAAAATAGATGTGGAACAATGGAAAGACAATACAGTAGAAGAGATACAAGAGAAGGGAAGTGATGCAGAAGAGAAGGAGAAGGAGGGCATGGACATAAGAAGGAGATAGTGATGGTTATTACATGTCCTTATTAGTCTTATGTATGTACTGTACATGTGTAGTTTAATAAGGAAATGCAGATCACAGATCTTGCAAGGAAATTGGGAGTGAGAGTGGACTCTCATCTCTCCTCCCTGTACAGTATTTCACCTGCCTAAACGTGTCACTATTGCCCTGCCTCTCTCAGTACCCCTAATAATTATATACTTACAGTGGCCTTACCAATCCTGTTGGATTTCTATTTCTTTATATTGATGATATTAATTGTTTTCACAGGCAGCACACAGGTATCAACAATCTTCGAACACTGCCCACTGTGGATTGCTCCCTCACCTCAACAAGGCCTCATTCACCTGACAGTTTGGAGCGGCCCACACAGTCTCACAATCATTCCCACAGTCAAAGTCAAGCCCACATCCATACTATTCCCCGAACTCACCTAAAGAGGGAAAGAACAGATCAAGTCGGGAGAAATGGTGGGAACAAGGCTCTCTTGCCGAGTGATGTGACTGAGCTGTAGCAATTAAAGAATAGTATTAAATGAACAAATTATTTTCTTACAGTAATTTATTTTGATAAGAGATATTGCTGTCTCAATGACTTGAAATTAGAAACAAAATTATGTGGTTAGATTAAAAAAATGCTTTGTAAAAAGAAACAGGTCACTTGATTTTAACCCAATGCTAAAATTGAGAAATTGATGTATCATAAATAATATATGGCTACTGTATGTGAAGTGTCTTCCAAGTAAGAGAAGATTCTCTATTTTTTATAGCAATTACAATATTGTAAGAGCTAAAATAGTTGGCCATAGTCACCCATGGAAGAACAGATACTGTGCTGTATTTTTCTGAATTTAGTCATATGGATTTCTGGTACTGTACTGCACTTACTTATAGCTTCCTTTGATTATAACACTACTAGATGGCCTGCCTCACTTTGTTATTTTATAATTCATTTTTTTGTCTGTTATTTCTACTTCTTCTTTGTCTTTTGATGGTTGAACATGTCCTTGTGGATTACCGTTAAGTTCTCCTATATGGAGTATAGCAGTTTGTATATGTGTAGACAGGCTGTGTTAATGTTCCTTCATAGCAGCTGGGAAATTAGTGGGCTTATCAGTACAATACATCACACTGCCTATATATTGACATAAAATGTAGCATGTGAAGTGGTAAGGAGGGACATGTGATAATAGTAGTATACAATATAGCTAACCATAATACAGATGCCTTTCCACTGTATACTTCAGGACCAAAGAGCACCCCTCGCCTCTTTCATGGGTGCAACTGTCGACAATTAGATTAAGTTACATTACTCAAGAAGTGCTCCTTTTGTCTCTCTTACTGAACATACCCTAATAAATTTCTCATTATAGGCCTGTATATTTTAGCCACTCATATTAAGTTAAGAAATATGTGCCTAAGCATTCCTAGATAGACAAGTTGTGCATATTTCACGATGTGCTGCTCATATTTTATGATACTGTAGTAAATCAAGTGGTGTGCTCTTTACTTGTGCTGCTCAAAGCTTCATAGTAAGGGAAATGGGGAATGATTCCCTTCTTTGTTGCCTTAAGTATCATGGCAATCTGGGTGTTGGTGATACAGCAGAAGTGCACTTGACTCTTCCATCTGTGTCTTAATTTCAATCCCTGGGTTAGATGAGAGAAAAGTGTTATCTGGTATGATCCCACCAAGCATCACAGGTTTTCTCAAGGTACTGTACTCCAGTTTCATCCTATACAGTACTAACACTGGGCAATGAAAGTCATAACAGAGAACAGTATGGGGACAGGTGGTGATAATGATAAATCCTTTGCTGCCTGAATCATTTTGGCAAGGATGTAGGCTTCTCTTTTATACTACTGTACTTAAACAATCATGTGTAATTTATTATTTAAGTCTTCTGATCGTTGGTTGTGGATCATGTCTACCTGTGAGCATCCTTTACCTGCCGGAACTGTAGAAAAGCTATTTATGGTACACATATACGGAAATACGAGCACAGTACATGATAAGGAAATACAGTACAGTAAACCCTCGCACTTCCTGACCTCTTGGATCCGGATTCAGGGTTGGTCCAGACCGAAGTCTGGAAGTGGCAAATTCCTATCCGGTCTCTCTCTCTCTCTCTCTCTCTCTCTCTCAGTCCTTATGCCGTGTTTACTCCCCTACTGCTAAAATGGACCCATTCCTTGTCGTCTGCTGTGCCGAGATGTGAGGTGTTATGGTTGTTTTTCAACTCGTATTTTCAGGTCGATATACATAACTTTCTTCATTTTTTTACTCAGTTACATACACTTACCATCCTAAGTACATGTTGTGAAAAAAGTAAAAGACATAATTGTCCTAAGGGCAAATGCATAACAGGAGGAGAGCACATGTAGGTGTTGGGGGAGTGATGCTAGGGAATTGGCATGCAGCTGGTCTTTGTTACTATGGTGAAGCAGGGAGTGTATGCAAATGGCAACTGTTTTAAACTTTCATTTGGCTTTTGTTTACTGGTTTGGCAATAGTATTTTTTGTTGTAATTTATTTATTGGTAGTATTTTTATTTATTACTCATATTTCCTGGCGCTGTATATATTATTTTGAGAAAACTATGGCTACAGGAGGAAAATACTCACAAGTGTTTTCCTAAATACATCATTGCTAAAATGGGGGGTGCGTCTTATTTGGCTGTGTATCTTTATGCCCTAAAATACAGGTTGGTGTTTTTTTACATTACTGTATTTATCATTTTTAAACATTTACTTCATTCGCTGGAAAATACGAATAATCGTTTTTTTCCGGATAGGTGGCCCCCTATTATTATTATTACTACTTTACTTTACTATTATCCTCTTCACCACTGATTGGCTCGTTAGCCCCTTGGGCGATCGGTCACGTCTCTGTTACGCACTGTTGGCAAGTACCGTATTACGATTGTTATTGTTATTACCCGTATCAATACAGTCCAGGCACAATACATTATTATGATTATCGTTAACGTGCCTTCGCCCCCCGGCTCAACCAAACATTTGCCATATCTGGACACTCTCCCCCCCCTAATTGTCCGGGAGTGCAAGGGTTTACTACAAATTCAAACTTTGCAATACAGTAATTCAGAAAGTTTTGGCAATGTCAAATTATTCAACAATTTTTCGACACTGCGATTCAATTGTCCAGGAGAAAAGAAAACAATTTGTTATTATCTAAAAAGATTCTTATGATATGATCTCTATTAAGAATATTACTGTACACTATGTTGCCATAATTAAATGATATACCAAACTACACCATAGAAATGTGTTGAAAATAAAAAGACTATAATAGGAGGCAAATAAAGAAAAGATGGAAGCTTCTATTGCTTTTATAAATCTTTTAATTGAGTAATGATATATGGTATACTCTGTGGTCATATGTTTACACTATAGATCCAAAAAGCCTGTGTGAATTAAGTCATTGGACGTGCCAAATGAAAACCTTTTGTAAATTATTGTAGTTAGATAGTTTTTGTTTTTTGATTAAGAAAAATCACATTCCACAAGAGCTGAACTTCAGACTAATTCGAGGTTGAAGCCAATTTTAATAAAGTTAATAGAATTTGTACAATAAAACAAGTAATTTCAAAATGGGTAGTGGAAGTGAACAATAATAGAATGAATGATAGAAAGATAGTGGGAGTAAACTAGTTCCCTTTTGCACCAAGATAAGCAAATATTAACTGATGAATGGTGGCCTAGCAGTTAGACCTTGTGATATAAACAGAATTTGTTTTGACTTATACAGTATAAAGATAAGTAAAGGCTCAAAATATATGAATGATCAGATAGTACAGTACTTTAAATTGTATAATATACTAAGAAAATGTATAATATATGAAATGTTTTTATAAGAATTCAAGTTGTTTATATGCTTGAGTTAATTCTCCTTGTTGGGTGATGTACAGTACTGTATATTTTCTGTTGCTTTTTCTATTGATTTAGCATACTCTCTTAACCCCATTATATGAAATAATTTTTTTTCATATTTTATCATTTATAGCACATGTCTTATAGTAACTTATATAAATACATTATCAATTACTTTTTTCATTGTATAGCTGCTTATGTGTGGGATATTTGTATACAATATTTTATAAATCTATTTTATATTGATGATATTCTTGTCCAGTATTTTGCTTTTCAAGACTTGGAAGATGGCAGTATCCTAAAGGTCAACAAAATATTGCCAATACCTGAACATGAACCAGTTTTGTTGCATTGTGCCGAAAGTATTTTGAGCACCAGGAAACAAAACAATTTATTGCCTAATTATACAGTACAGTAATTCTGCTCTTAACGTCATGGTTCCACTCCTGAAAACCGCGACGTTAACGGAAACAACGTTAACGGAATCAATTTTCCCCATAATAAATATATAAAATACGGCAGTTATGTTCCCCAGCCTATCTTTGCCCCATAAAATACATTACAGTGGTCCCTCGGTTAACGAGGGCCTTGGTTAACGAGATTTCGGTTCATGAGTTACCTTCCATAAGATTCTTAACTTCGGTTAACGAGCAATCCCTCGATTAACGAGTTTCTTGCGAGCTGACCTGAACATGTTTTCGCTTGCATTTGGCGGTCCACCAGCTGTAGTATTAGTCCGCCAGTACAGTAATCAGTTCTAGGGTTTAAATTCCTTACCATTTTAGTAAATATCAAGAAGTTTATACTATTCAATAATTTTAAAAGTTTAATATTAAATTTTTTAGTAATTTTAACAATTATTGAACATGCCATCCAGCCTGCCAACACACCATACAGGCATCAGTCTTTGTGTTTTTTCAGTGGAGGTAACATCTTGCTTGAGACTCTCTTCAACTAAATGCTTTTTTCTGTGTTTGCAAGCAAATTATTGGCCATTTTGAAATTTATTTTACATATTGACAATATATAATGCAGTGTAGTGTTGATTTAAAGAACATAATCCTGAATTACACCAAGAGAACTAAAATTTTATGGGTGAAATGGCGCCATGGGGTGACTTCTCTTCCACCCCAATGCCTTCTCTTCTCCTCCACCCCCATTCTAATTCCCATCATCATCATCATCCAGGAGCCTTCTACATACACACCTCAAAGTAAGTGTACTTTTCTACCTTTTTTGTTGAATTTAGGCAATTTTCGGTGAACTGGAACCAATTACCCCAAAACCCATTGAAACAATGGTTTCGGTTAACGAGTTTTTCAGCTAACGAGCAACCTTCTAGAACGGATTGTGCTCGTAAACCGAGGGACCACTGTACATATACACAAATTCAATGGCATTTTTATAGAAAATAGTCTATATACAGGGTATAAATAAACTAAATCATTTTGTATTGTAGTCACTGATGGATGGAGGTGGTGGAGCGAGTGTGAGGTGGATAGTGGAACGGAGGAGGAGGGCGGGAGAGAAGGAGGAGGGTGGAGAGTCACTGAGACCCAGCGGGTGGCTCCTCCTCCTCCTTCACAACACTAGCATCAGTAGCACTTGATGGGCACTTGGGAGCCATTTCAAATGGTTACAGTACAGAATTAAGAGCAAAAACACTTAAACACGCACGAACGCTGTGGTAGCTTAACAAAGACTGGCGACGCTTGGGGAGCCGTGATGCTCTGCTGGTGAGAGAGAGTAATGACCATAATGTCCGTGACGTGACGATGTTATAATCGGGTAGAATAGCATCTTATTTATTGGGGGCGATTAAACGATGTAAAATTTAGATTCTTTGATAAATTCAATAATAGTTTTGTGTCCTGAGAATTCTAATTTGCCGTTAGATTTTGTTTTGGTTGTTTTATCTTAATATCTTATGGTATTGTGAGAAATTTAAGAAATTTACCAACCTTTCCTTATTTTGAGTTCGGTACAGGTTGGACCATGTTAATCTGGGACCCGATAGTCCGGCAGCTTTGATAGTTCGGGATTTCTGTCATAGCTCACTTGTACTGGCTGTTGCCACTATTTTACCTTTAAATACTTATAATTCACCCCTAATTATGCCTCCTAATAGACCAGCAAGCAGTGGAAGTGGTTGTAGTGCGGCAAAATGTAAGCATGTGAATTCTATTTTAGAAAAGGTGTCTTTACTGAAGAAATTAGACAGTGATACATCAGTTAGGGCCTCGTGCCTTTTTTTAAGCTCGGCTTTGATGGTTCGGAATTTTTGATAATCCGGAACTGGTCTGGTCCCAAGCTTCCCAGATTAACAAGGTTCAACCTGTAGTACAATATATTGTTAAAGCATGACCAAATTTTCACTGATAGATGTGTTAACATCATAAACATAAGGAAACTGACACCAGGCCATTAAGAAGAGGGTTGTGTTTGATCTTATAAATCTCACTGTACTGTATGCACTTTATTGTACCGTACTGTATGTACTGTACTGTACTGTACTGTACTGTACTGTACTGTACTGTATGTACTGTACTGAACTGTGCTGTACTGAACTGTACTGTAGTACTGTATGTACTGTACTGTACTGTACTGAACTGAACTGAACTGTACTGTACTGAACTGTACTGTACTGTACTGTATGTACTGTACTGTACTGTACTGTACTGTATGTACTGTACTGTACTGTGCTGTACTGAACTTTAATGTACTGTACTGTACTGTAGTACTGTATGTACTGTACTGTACTGTACTGTACTGAACTGAACTGAACTGTACTGAACTGTACTGTACTGTATGTGCTGTACTGTACTGTACTGTACTGCACTGCACTGCATGTACTGTACTGTACTGTACTGTACTGTACTGTACTGTACTGTACTGTACTGTCCTGAACTGAACTGTACTGTACTGTATGTACTGTACTGTACTGTACTGAACTGTACTGCACTGTATGTACTGTACTGTACTGTACTGTAATTTACTGTACTGTACTGTACTGTATGTACTGTGCTGTACTGTACTGTACTGTACTGAACTGTAATTGACTGTACTGTAATTTATTGTACTGCACTGTACTGAACTGTAATGTACTGTACTGTACTGTACTGAGTTTACCGAAATTGCAGAGTTGTGTATAATTTAAGTGTCATCTTATACAACGATTTTTGTACCTGTACATAATTTTTAATATTATATACTTAAATACCATAAATTCCAATGTTTAATTTATTATTTGCCTAGAGGAGGGCCTTGAATCACAAGGCCGCAGACGTCATTTTCTAAAAAGTAAGAAACAAGCCCCTCAAATTTTTTGTTTGTTACTCCACATCCAATAAAGATATCAAGGTGGGGTTTGTTTTATTTAGAAGATTTTGTTGTACAAGTTTTGTGTACGAGTGTCATGCATTGCGGCCCATGTGCCCCAGACACAAGTCCATTGGCCGAAGCGGGTCTACTTGCTGCATCATTGGCTCAGCTGGTAGATGTGCCTGGTGATGCGTGCCTGTCATTGACTGCTAAGTGAGTTAAAGGGACGTGGTGCGGTGGAGTGAGACTTGTGGCCTTGCGTGATGAATGTGCGTTGAACATGGTCCTATTAGGTACACAAACCAATGTATTTCAGTGCTATTTTTGATCATGTGAGAGTAACACAAGGCTGCAAATCCAAGCTCCACAAGACAGGCAGCTTACCTACCTGCCTGCCTCCCTGCCTGTTTGTGATTATTGTCATTGCGTGAGTAGCGATCACTGGCAACTCAGGGGTATATAAACTCAAGATGGCCAGGGAGAGCGGCGGGCGCTTGTGGTAGAAGCGGTACCGCTTTTGCCTCGCAAGCAAGATGTCACAGGTTCGATTCCCGGGCAAGCGGAAGTTGTTTGGACACTCTTCCTAGCCCCCTTGGTCTCTGTTCACCTAGCAGTAAAGTAGGTACCTGTTGTAAATCGAAAGGTTGCGAATTCGTATTCAGGGAAAGTTGTTGGAGCTTCTAAACTTGAACTAGACACAATCCGGAGGAGTGGTGACCCGAGGACCACACACCCAACACAGACAAAACCCAATACGTGCGCTATGCGCTAACCAAATGAACGCAGTCGTGTAAAGCCACGGCACTATCTCTCCCACTACAATTCCCTTCCTAACCTCCTGCTCCTTCCTCTGTCATCTTCCCCGCTCTGACTTTCGCTACCAACAACTTTGGAGCTTCTAAACTTGAACTGGGAGAGCGTCCCCTGACGCTGATTCCCGTTTGTCTCCAGGTATGATCTGTGTTCCCTAGCCATTCAGTTAATTCAGTCAATTGTAGTGAATATCAGTGTTCACCAGTGTTCATGATTTAATAGTTGAATTGTCATTCACCCAGTGTAGAAGTAATATAACGTAAATACGTCTGTCGTCTAGACAGGAGAGTTTGTTGGTGTTGTCATGTTTCTCAGGCCCCTGACGCTGATTCCCGTTTGTCTCCAGATCCTTGGGAATCTTGAATCGCTCTACCATCCAACAACGGCCTCGGATGTAGTAGATGGCCAGCCGGGATCATATATGAAAAGATGGCACCGATGCGGCCTGATAAATGTGCCCCACGGCTTCGTTGGGCCAGACCCCAGACCCGCCATGTGTCTGGCTACCCCACAATAACAAAGGCCGCGAGCCCTAGTGTTCTGCCCTGGGTTACTCCTTGGAAGTGAATGTCCAGAGAGTGTTGTAACATGTATGTTAGGGATAATTAGTTGGAAATAATTATCCCATGTTGGGTAGTGGACCCCTGCATATACTAGTGTCATTATTTACGTATATGTTGAATAATCTACAATGAGTGCCATGTAATGTAACACCAGTAATGTTGGGAGTAAGAGTAAAGAAGAAGGAACTGAGTTTGCACTAAGCCCAGGAGGTGAGCCTGGTAATTATATGATTAATACAATATCTTTCCCCATTGATGGCATATTAATAAACTTGTTTTTAGAGTACTTTAGGTGTATTCATTTCTCCCACAGTATTTTACCTTTATTTCCATCCAAGTGACTTGATACCAAAATTACCATACTCACGTGCCTAGACCCTCGACCATGCTACCAAAAGAATGTCCAGGCTACCAAAAGAATGACCATGCTACCAAAAGAATGACCATGCTACCAAAGAATAGGTGACGGAACTGAGTAAGAGTAAGAACTAAGAGAAGTAAGTAAGCTGAGGGAGGTGTAGAAACAGAGAGGGAACCGGCCCCCTCACATTGGTGGCAGGCCTAAAACCCGCCCCCTCACATTGGTGGCAGCCCAAGAACGCGCCCCCTCACAGTGTGAAGTGTTAGCAGGATATTAGAGGGGTGTGTGGTGTGTTATAGGGGTGTGTGGGGTGTTAGAGCGTTGTGAGGTGTGTTACAAGGATATTAGAGCGGTATGTGGTGTGTTAGAAAGCTGTTAGAGGGGTGAATGGTGCGTTAGAAGGATGTTAGAGGGGTGTGTAGAATGTTTGAGGGGTGTGTGGAATGCTAGAGGGGTGTGAAGTGTGTTAGAAATATGTTAAAGGGGTGTATAGAATGTTAGAGGGGTGTGTGGTGTGTTAAATCGGTGTGTGGTTGTTAGAAGGATGTTACAGGGGTTGTAGAGTGCTAACTGGGTGTGTGGCGTGCTACAGGGGTGTGAAGTGTGTTAGAGGGATGTCAGAAGTGGGTGTGGTGTGTTAGATGGTGTTAGAGGGGTGTGTGGTGTGTTAGAGGGGTGTGTGATGTGTCAGAGGGGTGTGTGGTGTCTTATAGGGACGTGTGGTGTGTTAGAGAGTTGTGTAGCACACAAGAGAAACTTTGGAGTGTGTTGAGGAAGTACCCCGATGTTTTTCTGGACAGGAAGGGTAAATTAGGATGCCACACATCCACAACATTGTTTAAGCTGCCTCCCGAAAGCTGGGAATGCTGTACAGATGCCGTAGCTACCTGTACTTCTCTCCTGAGCAGTTGCTTCAAGTATAAAAGGGATTCATTCGTCCTAACTTGGAGTACTGCTCTCATGTCTGGGGTGGCTCTTCTGTCCAACTGTTAGATAGGGTGGAATCAAAGGCATATTAATTCTCCTCCTTTAGTTGATAATCTTTCTTCCCTTTCTTTTCGCCGCAATGTTGCTTCACTCTCTTTCTTTTACAGACACTTTAACGGGCAATGTTCGGTGTCTTCTGCATCCTGTGTACCGCCGGCAAGAACGTGGGCTCTTAACACTCGTCTTGCCCACGGTGCCCACCGTTTCTGTGTGGATGTCGGTCACACTAAATATGAGAGCCTAGATATGGAAGGCAGGAGAGCCAGGGGTATGCCAAGAATGATATGGGGAGAAGTTACCAGATGGAAACTCTCCATCTCTTATTGAATTCCTAACTCTGTCATTTCTAACAACCCCTCCTCATGTCATTCTTGGCCTGCCCGTGGCTCTCCTCCCTTCCATATTTAGGCTCATGCATCTCTTGGTCCAATTGGTCTCATCCATTCTGTCTCTAGACATACCCAAACCATCTCAAGCTGATTCTACACAGCACTTTGCCAATACTCCCAATACCCAGCTGCCCTCTAAGCTGTGAACAGGGCCCCCTCTCAGTGTCATATTGCACAATCATCTCACTATTCTTATTTCAGGTCGTTCAAGTCTACTTATGTCATCCTCTTTAACAGCTCTTGTTTCACTACCATACATCATCACACTTCCCACACCAGCTACATACATTCTTCCTTTTGCTCGGACAACAAAACACCCAAATCATGCCTCAAACATTGAATCAGTTCTCTCAATGACTAAGTAGAGTAAGTTGTTTTGGTGGATGGTAGGATGAAGGATATCGATGTGTCATCTTGCAAATCATATAATTGGGGGAATAATAAAATGAATTAACTTCATATATGAATAAGTAAACTCTTTATATATATATATATATATTAATTTATTTATATATATATATATATATTCATATATATAAAATTTCCTTTTATTCATCTACCCAGTAAAGTGAATCTATACAATACAATATATCTATACTTCATACGGCTGAAAAAACTTGGCTGTTGATCTCACTGAAACTTGGAATTGCAGGTGGGAAGCTTTTCTACTTGGCTGGACCCCTGAGTGTCATTTATACTATGTGTGGAACAGGTGAAACAGAGGCACTCATGGCACTATGGTTCAGGTTCTTTGTGTTGTTGTTGTTTCTGGTTCCTTGATGCCTCTACCTGTCAAAATAGACTCACATTATTTATCAAGAAGTGTTATTACAGGTAGTTTTTAAGATTCCCGCCCCCCTCCCCTTACACACACACACGCCTCCTTGGATCTTATCATTTGACCTTTGAATGACCTCTCTTGATTTAAGTAATATCTCACCATTAAATCTCTATAGCTATTGAATACACCTGTACTTTTGACCTGTTTTAATCTCACTTTTCTCAGAATGTTGAAACAAGGAGAAAAGGTAAACATTAACAGCTGATAGACTCTAGTACCACGTGGTGACTCACCTGGGCGCTTAAGCAGGATTTTCTCCAGGCCTAGGATAGGTCCTTCAACCATTAGGGAAAGGAGGACTGCCGCAATCCCTCCAATAAACAGGAACCCGCATGTAAGCAGGACCTAAGGAGAATATAGGAATACACTTCTATAGTATATAAGGAATAAGACGTTCATATATTATCTTGTATGATTTCAATACGCTCTGAATAACACCATACATGTACAGTATAAATCATAGACAAGAGTGTGTAGGATGAGGTTCACTTACAGAATTGAGGTGGTTTATGTAAAATGGGATATAAATAAGTCCGGGGTAGATTATCTGGATAGGAAAACAAGTGAGGTACATGGCGAAGGTCAAACGGCTCATCGGCTGCCAAGAAGGATGGGAGAGGAAGGTGTTGATGGGACCTGCAAGAGAAGACATTCATAAGATTTTGGGGAGCATACTATTGTTAAAATATCGTTAATAGTTGCACCACTCAAATATCATCCTACATAAAACGCTATCAAACAGAGAGAAGAGCAGACTTCAACCTGGCCAGTACACCCGTAAGTTAAAAAAGGTCACACTATCCACAAAAGTTCTCTCTCTCTTACTGTGTTATATATTTGGTTGTTTACTTACTAGGGACACATTCTCCCTGTATGGTGAACCACACTAAGAGCAACGTAGTGCTGGGGTTTCATTAATTTATCTGTTAGAAGAGCTTCATGTGTTCTTACAGAGTAAAAGTGGCAGTGTGAGTGTGTGTGTGTGTGTGTGTGTGTGTGTGTGTGTGTGTGTGTGTGTGTGTGTGTGTGTGTGTGTGTGTGTGTGTGTCCAAGAAGTAAAGTCCCTTAGTCTCTCAAATTATTATGTTTTTTCTCTTTACCTCCATATCCAGTGTGACAGGCAAAGACAACCCAGACCAATGCCGCACACCATGAAGCTCGACTGAACCCTGCGTAGATGATGCTGGGAGCAACAGGGAGAAGGACAGGGTCTTCCAGAGTGTCGTAGTCGGCCATACCATACAACACCGCCAGAGCAACAGCTGCCGACAACAGCCACCCCAGTATTGCCTGCCACTGTGGGTGAACATGTTCATTACTTCTGGTCTACATGAATTAGTCTTGCTGACAGATTTTGATGAGAAAGACGTGTGAACTAGTAAGTGTATATCAATGTTACCACACACACACGACTGGGGAGTGAGAACTAGCTTAGAGTTGCTTACTGGAGTAGAAAATGAACATTGGGTATACTTATTAAGTTAGATTTATATACAGCTATACAGCTTCTCGTTATATACAGGATAAGGGCAGCGTTGCCAATCCTCACCAGCTTCATTCTGAGGATCTTGCCCTGGACAGTGAAGAGGAGCAATCCAGCCCAGACGCCCACCAAGTAAGAGTTGGCGCGGCACCACGGCGTCATATAGGTGTCAACATCACCCCTCTCCTCAACAGGTTGTCTGCAAAGATTGATTAATTCCGGTCACATGATAATAATTCATTCATGTTCTAATCACCCAAGAAGTTTGTGGACTCTGACATCGATTTGCATGCCGGACTGGTGTACTGACCACGGTCGTACATGTTCGAGAAAATATCACATCTTCACACATTTATCAGCTCAGTTAGTGGAGTATAAAAACTACTACCCCCCCCTCCCCTTTACACTGGCATAAAACAGGGCGACACAAAACTCGCTTTACTGAGAACATGTATGTCAGTAAAGCACCTTATGAAGCACCCTGTAGTTCCTCAAATGTTAACAGGAAATACTGAAGATAAGTGAAGGCTGAGGTACTCACGCAAACATGACAGCTGGTGGTACATGATATACAGCGGAGATGATAGTTGGGATAGCTATGGCGATGGCCGTCACCACAGCTAGCACAGCAATACCTGCAGAAGACACCAAGTACTCTATAACACAAAGTTCAGAGTTCTGTGTCTGATATATTTTTGAATTGTTGGTGGACTAGTGCAATCAAAACCTTGTTACTCACTTAAAGACCTTAGATGTTGGGGTACAGTTATAACATTATGGCATCAACATTTGGTGGCGTCACACTAGCATTTCTATTGTCAACTTTTTCATTGCTGTTAATTTTTTTCACGAATCGTCGGCTGTTTGTTAAAAGGTACAGACCGTCTACACTGACAATTCGTACGATAACTTCGACAACTTGCCGGAGTCAACTCAAGATATATAAGTGATACTGTAGTGGACTTCTCCCCTACAACTGCGTAGCGGCGTCACCAGCTGCTATCATCCTCCCTAGCAACCAAGCGAACGGCGACACCAGATGTTACGGTAACCTAGCAACGGAACTAGAGACCGGCGACTTTCTCGGGTTTTCCCAGCATGACTCATAGAGGACTCGCGGCTGCTGGGTATATAAGCTCTGTCTCTCCATTGAGATTCATTCTGGTCTCTCTTATTGAACAAGCAACACCTCCTCCTCCGCCGCTGCCTGGCGGCCCTTGCTTCTCCTCGCCTGCCTGGCGGTCCTCGCTCCCGCCAGCGAGCATGGCGACCCACCAGCTGTCCTTCTCTGAGCTTCCTCACCAACCAGCTCTCATTCTGGCCCATCTTCCTGAACACGCAACACCTCCTCCAGCAAGCTCCACGCTGTCCAGCTTTCATTCAACCTGGAGGCCAGCAACAGGCAACATCTTCTCTAACGAAGCTCCTGCACATCTACCTCCTTCAACACGCAACTCACCCAACGTTTCTACTGAGCAGCTCCTCACCACACGGCACCTCCAGCACCAGACTGTAAATCATATAACTTATATTATACAAGAAAACCACCTTAGGGTTTCCATCCATCCTGAGTGCTAGACAACATTATACCACGAATTCCTACAACACTATAAATAGTTATAAAAAAAAAAAAAAAATTATTTAAAATATAAAGCTAAAATTAGTATGAAGTAATTAGTATTCTTTTTCCCAAGATTACTCACTACAAGTACTATGTTTAATTTCGTGATTTTAAAAAGGTAAGAAAATGCTATTTGTTGTTTACATTTTTGACAAATGCGAGAATAACAACAGCATGACGGAGCCAGCAGAAAAAATAATTTCCCAAGTATGGACACGGCTCTCCGAGGAGGTCTTGGTGACCAGATAAGGCAGCGCTGCTGTCTCTGGGATCACCAGGACTCTTCATATACCAAAAAATGCGTAAAATTACTGAGCTTTCTTCGTCAGTTGGATCCATCTTGTTTGTTGTCAGTTGTTGAACAAGGGAAACCGGCGAGTTGATTCCAAACAGTTGTGTGACGGTGCACAACAAAAATGTTTGACGATTTTTTGAAAGTTGACAAAAATTAACGAAAGAATGCCAGTGTGATGCAGCCTACACTTACCAATTTTCCGTCTGTAGAGGAGTGGGAGGAAGACGAGAGGCAGGAAGATATAGATCTGAGTGTCAACAGCTGTGTACCAACACTGGCCCAGACACTGTAATGATCACCACCCAACACTCAGCATAATGGTAATAGATAATGAAAACAAATGGGTATTTATTGAGTTTTGATCATCATTTCACAAGATGAAGATAACTAGCTATTAATACCAACTTGTATGACGGTTCCAGACAAACGATTATTCAACAACAACACAGCCATGGTCAACCTCGCTCTATCACCTCAAAAAATAAATAAAAGCAACTGAAAATAATGAAAGACCAAGAAATTAAGAATAGTCATCCGGAGAGGAGGGTGTGTCAGGCTGTGTGCTTACCGGGAGGTCCAGGAAATTGGTGACGAACAGCATGTCGCCCCACCAGTAGTTTTTACAGGACTGTATAGCGGTTCTCTCAATCTCCTTCGACATGGGGCCAAACAGAATAAGTCTCGGTATGGTAGCCGCCACAATAGCAGTCAAGGCAATGGGTGGGGCTAACCTGTTGAGGGGGCCACATATTAATGAACTATCAAAATTATCTGGCTTCCTACAGGATAGTTATATATTGCATAACCGTGACTGTCACAGTTTGCCCTCCCTGACACGGGAACCACCTCTCATCATCTCACTAAAATATTATGTATGTAACTAAGATATTTCAAGTTACTCTCACTAGGAATTAGGCATCACTTATGCAGCTACAACACAAGTACCAGACATCAGTGTATCAAATTAACTGACCTGATGAACCTGTGAATGTAGAACATAATCCAGTTGATCCTTCCCACTCTGCTAAACTCCTTCAGGACACCGAAGGCCACCAGGAGACCACTCATGAAGAAGAAAGTATCAACGCTGAAGGTGGCATTGTCTACTGTCTCATCTAATACGGTATTCGTCACCTGACAATAGAAAACATACGTGATATACACACTAATAAGAACTATGATGAGGGTGACATAATGCACTTCTTTGGTAATAAAATATCGAATGTCAGACTCTTACAAAAGGAGTTATTGAATATATTACTAAATTAAAATAGGATCCTCAACCTTGACAGAATCTCCCGTATGTTCCACTTCTCCTTTACTTAACTAATGACCCTACATGATTCAGGGCTAAACACCTCTGTGGCTCTTGTGGTGACCATCCGGAGTGACCGCCAGACAAGGTGACGAACACAACCATCAGAAAACACTACATCTAACGGATCCTTGATATAACGGACTTTCATCTCCTTATAATCCGTTTAATAGAGGTTTCACTGTATTCATATAATGAAATAAGTAGAGAAACAAAGAACAGATAAGAATTACAATTTGGGTGAAACAAAGAAGAGAAAAAATGGTTTAAACTCACAGGGGCAAGACCTTCGATCGATAAATTAGACGAATAGAATGTCATGAAGAAGTACGTATGCCCCCACACCACCCAGACCATGGACAACACCCTGGAGACGTAATAGAAAGGTGGATGAAGGTGGATGGATGAGGATCAGCTGAAGACTAACATTATATATATCACGCACAACAAATTATATACACAATATATTTCCACCAATCAATATGTTCATGGTATAATAATGAGTACAAGAAGAGAATTAAACAAAGTAATTCCATAGGTTAATACTAATCAAATTTTTCTTAGTTCTCTTACCTTATCCCATGCAGGCAGGAAATCACTTCAGGATTCCTTGTATTATTGATGGTGAATATTTTCTTCATGTTGGTATAAGCGGAGAAGACCAGAAGAAACTTTAGAGGACCTGGGAACGAAATCAAGACTATTATGAACTGTGTGTGTGTGTGTGTGTGTGTGTGTGTGTGTGTGTGTGTGTGTGTGTGTGTAACAATATCTAAAGCACAAATATAATGTAAGAGTATATAAAGTCTCCTAACAACAATGATATCTTTTCCCTGGTACTCTCTAGCTAGTGAGTGGACCATAGACTTGTTACTGACCATTGCGATATTGTTGTTGATCCCAGTGGTTGATGCTGATGTCCACAATAGCGGCAGCGAGCAGCAGGAACCCAAATATAGAGAGTATAACACTGTGGGAAGGATAGCTGTGTCATTACTACAATTCCTCCACAATAGGCTGGATTTATTCTATCTGTCCAATTTGTTTACCTGTCTTCTCTTTATTCCAAAATACAAGTCATTCTTCTAAGACATACTGTAATGTATCATTAATCTAAAGAACTGTTAGGTTCCCTGTTTATCTCTTTTCCACCTTCCTTATCGTCTTACCTTCTTATCCCCACGTTTATTACGGAGTGATTACATACCTGGTGTTGGTCCTATGCTGCAATATTATATTCTTACTGTAACTCTCCCCAATTATGTTAACGTTCTTCTCAATGACATGAGCTAAATAAGGCAGATAATGCTTCGTAACATGACCAAAACCTATTCATTCATCGTGTAAAACAAAGTGAATCATGACTGGTTGTTACTCCACTGTACAATAAGACTCACATGACAGCGATATCGTCAGCTCCATATGTAATCTCCTCATCCTCGGTCTGGCAGTCAACTGTTTTAGCTTTTTTGCCAAGAAATTTAAGGTGAGCATCCAGAGTCACCTGTCAGAGAGTGGAATATAAGTTGTTTAGTGACAGCTGTTGAATATGGTGACAGCTATTGAGTGTGGTGACAGCTATTGAGTGTGGTGACAGCTATTGAGTGTGGTGACAGCTATTGAGTATGGTGACAGCTATTGAGAGTGGTGACAGTTATCGAGTGTGGTGACAGCTATTGAGTGTGGTGACATAAACACACGTTACGAGCACTGAGAGTCCTCTTCGGTGCAGGAGGAAGGCATACAGGTGCCGTAGTGGGCGAACGGTAAGTCGACAGGTGAGTACAGTTCTACCCCTGGCGGCTGCCCCCACAACATCTGAGTCTTCTGTTTTCTCACGTCCTCCTCCTCCTCAAATGAGGTATTTAAGGAACTGGAAGATGATGTATAGTTATGTATACAGTATATGTATGTATAATCTATTTATTCCTCATTTGGATTAATTTGTATTGTTACTAATCAATACTGTTTCATATTGGGTGATTCACTCAGTCGATGCCCTCGCAGGTATATAACACGTATTTTTAAATGATGAGAAAGTGATACAGGTTAATGAGAAGCTTGTCCAGGTGTGTATGCCCCCCCCCCCCACCCCGGTACTGTACTTCATAATGGTGTATAAATGTCACTATCTGTCCTGTAAATAATGGTAGCTACTGTAGTCTAGAGTGAACATAATAATAATAATAATAATAATATCACATTACCTGTAAGCTATGGCGCAGTACTTCCCGTTGAAGGTGGTGTTAAGAAGTGGGTGAAGTACTCCAGGAATCAACTCCTTAACGTGAAGACCTGTACATTCCTCCATCATTCCCCAGGGTTGGGTGTTGCCGTACAGGACCCCGTCAGGCATCTTCCCCCATGAGTCAGGTACTGGTGATAGACAGTTATACCATGAGTCAGGTACTGGTGATAGACAGTTATACCATGAGTCAGGTACTGGTGATAGACAGTTATACCATGAGTCAGGTTCTGATGATAGACAGTTATACCATGAGTCAGGTTCTGGTGATAGACAGTTATACCATGAGTCAGGTTCTGGTGATAGACAGTTATACCATGAGTCAGGTTCTGGTGATAGACAGTTATACCATGAATCAGGTACTGGTGATAGACAATTATACCATGAGTCAGGTACTGGTGATAGACATGAGATATAAACCACCTCATTATAACTCACAAAGCATGGGCCAGAAGTGCTGCTTTAACACCAACAAGCTTAAGATCGAAGGGGTGTTGAAGACTTTTAGGATGGAGCTCACGTCATCTCGACACTTCTTGTTTTCCACTATTTTTTCGTTTGTGGACGGCAGGTAGATCCACGTCCATTCCTCTGCCTTCCTGGAATGGATAGATAGATATTGTAACAGTAAAAATAAGATATATATATCAAGAAATTAAAAAAAAAGTCTTCTTTGTTTTGTGTTTCATATAATTAATTGAAGTGGTTGATATATATGACTTCTAGCTGTCATTTTTAAATATTTACTTAACTTCGTGAGAATTTCCTTGAACAATTGTTAATATTTTCATCATATAAATTTCCTGCATATTGTTGTCAACGTTTTAATATATCAAGTGAGATCCGTTTATTACTTTCCACCTCCTCTCTGTAAATATTCCAGAGAGTGTCACTGACTCACGTTGGTTGAAGGTCGTCAAGTTTGTCTCCCATCAGCAGTCTGGGGAGTCCTTCAGCTGCTCTCTCTGTCGGGGACCCAAACCATTCCTCCGCCGCGTCTACCAAGGACTCAGACAGCGGCGGCCACATGTCTTCCTGTGCCGCCACCTGTCCGAAAGCAGCCACCGCCACTGCAACCACTAGCAACCTTATCCACCTGCTACCCATCTTTGCTACCAGACAGGTTGTTTGTGTGTGTATGTGGGTGTGTGAGTGTGTAGGCGGTTGTGTGCGTGTGTATATGTTGTACTACACTACACCACCACCAACAAAAATGTCGCAGGTATGTTGCTCACACTACGACCTTCACAACACTGAGCTCGCGCGAGGAACTACGGACTGCATAGCATATATTACGACACAAAACTTATCTGATAATATAACAGGCTTAAGCTGTACACGAGTTGTGATGGCTGGGCAACAATAGAGGTCCTTGGTGTTCTTTTTATCATGATATTTAATTGCTTTATTTAAATCATTGTTATATTTATTTTAGAATCTTTGATGCTTTTTTCCCCCAAAAATGCGACCTTTTGAAATCTTTGTCACTTTTCTAAAACTTTTGTCTACAGTAGTTTTTCATTACTGTAAGTTTATTAATCTTAATTCGGAAAATCTGACTAAATCTTTGGAGTTCAGTCTGAGGGGGAGGGGGTGGAAGAAGAGGGTGTGGTGAAGGAGGAAAGGGGGGAGGAAAAGAGGGAGTGGTGAGAGATAAAGGGAGAGAGTGAGGGAGAGAGTAAGAGGGGAAAAGGGAAAAGGAGGAAGGGATTAGAGAGGAAGGCGAGGAAGGGGTTGGGAGAAAGAAAGGCAAGAACTAGGGAGGGAATGGAAAGAGAGGGAAGAAAGGAGTGGGTAGGAATGATGAGAAAGAGGGAAGAAGTAGAAAGTAAGTTAAACAAGTTTATATGTGACAAGACCAGGTTAATTAGCTTACCTGTGATATCTACAGGTAAGGTCGGTACCTGGCACGTCTCTAATCATGTTGTCTTATTAGTCAGCGATTACATAAAAATATGGCGCAAGACTCATTAGAAGAGAGAGAGAGAGAGAGAGAGAGAGAGAGAGAGAGAGAGAGAGAGAGAGAGAGATAATAACTCACAGTTAATCTGAATATACCACTTAAGGGATTACTCCAGCTAGGATAACTAGATTCGACTTTTGCTCTCCTCGTGGATGTGAGGTAAGGTTGTGTCAGAACCCCTCGAGAGATAAGCTTAGATAGGAATTCTTTTTCTGTGATAAGTGAGTGTGTCCACTGAAGAAACTGACCTCTGAACTATTACCTAATGTTTTAATCTCGTTTTGTTATCTGCTATCGATCGGTCTTAAATATTCCCACCTATTATCACACTAGACGGGGCCCTCACATACCCTGCTCTGTATCTCTGCTTCCTGTTAATAGTCAGCTTCATCTAACTCTACTAACCACCTTAGCATTCCATTTATTTTTATACATTATTTTATATCCTCAGATTTATAGATAACGTCACACTTTATACACTGAGACTTTGTTTTCACGTAATATCGTTCATAAATCCTTGTATGGCACCGTGTGTTAATTTGGTCTTAGCTTCTTGGACTTGTAGTATAATTGGACCAGCTTCTTCTTGGAACTCCTAAAAGCGACGTGGTTCAGTATGTTGTAGCTATTCATCCTCTGTTATGATCTAGAAATGCTTGGGGATCTATTTTACCTGTAGATCTACCTTTCAGGCTCTATGGTATTATTTTGGTCACTACGTAACGAACAGGTAGTAAATTTATCTCTCCCTCTGGGTATAGGAAAGTTTGTCGCACTTCTTATGCAGGAGAACAATCATTCCTCTTCTTCAAGGTGACTGGTTCCTCCCTGTACAGTGGTCCATGTCGTGACTATGAGGCCGTGTATGTACTTTTCTCCCGTGTGTTTCAGTAACTCAGATGGGTAGGGAAGGGAAGAGAAGGGAAGGGAAGAGAAGCGGGTAAAAGAGAAGGGAACGGAAGGGAAGGGAAGGGGAGGAAGGGAAGAGAAGAAGAGAAAAGAGAAGGGGACGGAAGGGAAGGGAAGAAGTGATTTATGGGTCAATTCTGCTGATACTACTGTAGATTTGTAAGGTTAAGGTTATCAGCGGTGATGGCGATAACACAATAGGTGGTCCACTCATCATTACTCGGCAGCTTTGGAAGGAGTGACCATGGGTGATTGACAAGATAAAAGTCCCTTATACTATATAATGCAATACACACACACACACACACACACACACACACACACACACACACACACACACACACACACACACAAAATACAATGTTTACTTTATTTGTATCCTGTTTAGAAAGATTTATTCTATTAGTTTATTTAAAATTTGATAATAATTGATAAGCCGACTCCTGAGAGGGTAAATGATTACAGGAAGCCACTTGACAATAATATACTAAATAATCGTGGCGTCAGGACTGATAATGAACTCCCTGCATTGAAAGAGTACCGTATCATCATGAATCAGAAATCATCAATTATCAATCATTATTCAAGAAACCTCTCCTGGCCTTCCAATACTCTAACAGTCTCCCCCCCCCCAAAAAAAAACAACCCACTCCGAATGGCTATGTGCTTTACGTCCAACCCTATCTCGAATGACGTCATCAGCCATACGTTTATTTTCCACCAGATAAAAGTTCGTGTTTGTTTTAACGTGGATAACATGACCTCCCACCCCCTTGAACTAATACTGGAAGATATCAATTCTCGTCATCTACGGATCTAAGATGAGGAAAGAATGGTTTGGAAGTTCACTTACAATTACAGCGAGAAATCATATCTATAATCTTTTAATGAACGTAATATGGGCTTTCGTGCCATTAATTACCTTCATTATTTATCTCTGATCCTTATATTTCATTAAAATAACCTGAAGTATGTGAAGGTAATGTACTGTAGCTCGACTGACCATAATAAGTTAGTAAGCCATAAGAATTGTCTTTTTCTTTTATAACATAACTGACACAGAGATACAGGAGCTCAAGTAATAACGTTCAAAGGATTACAGTGTTCTTGTTTGCATGTGCCAGGTAATATGATTTGAAGTTGACAGGTATGGTGCAGGTACAAGTACAAGTATAATAACAGGTAGAGGTATAGTGCAGGTACAGGTACAAGTATAATTACAGATACATGTATAGTGCAGGTACAGGTATAGTGCACATACGGCTATAGTTTAGGTACCAGTATAGTTTAGGTACCGGTATAGTGCAGGTACAGGTATTGTGCAGGTGCAGGTATAGTGCATGTATAAGTATAATTACAGGTACAGGTATTATGTAGGTACAGGTATAGTGCAGATACGGCTATAGTTTAGGTATCGGTATAGTGCAGGTGCAGGTATTGTGCAGGTACAGGTATTGTGCAGGTACAGTTATAGTACAGGTACAGGTATAGTGCAGATACAGGTATAGTGCAGGTACAGGTACCATGCACATATACGGGGAAACATTAAGTCCTTCCTAATATTAAACAGTATGGTATTAAGAGATAAAACTCCATTGTTAGTATATTTTAACCAAATATTATTAACATTGTAATAGCATAACTAACTACTTTATATAGCAAAAGATAACATTACGATTAAGGAATATTAACGACTTAGATAACTAATATAACCCAAGACATCTTTTGAATTATGGTGAATGAGGATAATCCATGTCATACATATTATCATCCAAAGTGAGTGAAGGATAATTTAATAACACCAAATTACAACACCTGGATAATAATACAGTCCTGTGATTTTCAACAAAATCTACTTTTTGCCCCAAAACCACCTTACAAAATTTTTGACCAAAATATATACTTTTTTTCCAGAATTGAAATTTAAGGGGTTTAACGAATTAAGTACATAAAGAATAACACACAAACAATAAATCACAATCTGGAAACCCATAGTTGATGAGTAATTAGCATTGAAAAATGTCAGTAAAATATTTCAAGGGTCATTTTGGCCACTAATTACTCTGCACTCGAATCGTGGACCAAATGCTCATAATCAGCAAGCTCGGTGTACCCATACAGTAATAATAATTAACATCAAAGGATATAAATCAAACATTACCTTTAAATCCTGCAAGGTACGGAATCACACTAGATGGACTTCACCTTCGGATTCTTCTCTTGTTTCTATGTTAATGAAGCTGTTGCTATCCGAAGGCTTCATTAACAGTGAGGGGGTTGCGCTACCATCCAATTTAGCTGGTACTCGTTCAGGAGAGATTTAGTGTAATCAATTTCACTTTGTCATGCTGCAAAATCGGTAGAGTCAGGTGGAAGGTATCAGGCTGGTTTATTTATTTTTTTCGACAATCCCCCAAGTTTAGGGTTAAAGCCTAGATAATGACTAATGTAATTTGTATACTAGCTGGGTGGTTAAAACCCACTCAAAAGCTCTTAATGGTTGATTTTAATTTGAATGACACTGTAATGGTAGGGAGGAGGTCATATGGCAGGGAGGAAGTCATATGGCAGGGAGGAGGTCATATGGCAGGGAGGAGGTCATATGGTAGGGAGGAGGTCACATGGCAGGGAGGAGGTCATATGGTAGGGAGGAGGTCACATGGTAGGGAGGAGGTCACATGGCAGGGAGGAGGTCACATGGCAGGGAGGAGGTCACATGGCAGGGAGGAGGTCACATGGTAGGGAGGTGGTCACATGGCAGGGAGGAGGTCACATGGCAGGGAGGAGGTCACATGGCAGGGAGGTGGTCACATGGCAGGGAGGAGGTCACATGGTAGGGAGAAGGTCACATGGCCTAACACTGTATTTGTGTTGTTTAATGTTGTTAGGACAGGCCAGGAATCCACTGCTCTGTTTGTTCATTTGAGGGATAACAAGCATTGCATTGACTGGGATAATGCCTCCTCAATATTACCATGTAATTCAATTGATAGTAGGAACATCATAGAATCTAGTCTTATTAAACATACCGAAGCATTCAACATGAATTTGAGTAACGGCATGTACAAGCTGGACAATTTTGTAATTAAGAAGATTTGTGACCAGGTGAGAAGGCCGGGTCACCTGACCATCTGACCTGACCACCAACCGTTGTGTGCTATTTAAAGATTAGTAGGGTCATTACCTAATACCTGACCATTGTGGACCTGGTCTCACCCTCCTCTGTATATATACACCTTGATTTGTATTTCTCTCTCTAGTCTGTACTCACCCCTGAAGATGTGAATTACACGAAAGCGCTTGGGAACTTCGTGTTTTCTTCTTTCCTTGTGGTTATCAGCATATATATATATATATATATATATATATATATATATATATATATATATATATATA